ACTTGTCGTCTTGGTTGGGGTGCAAAAAGCCATGGCTCGTTTCGGAAGAGCATCCATTATAGTCTTCTCCGTCGGTACTGTAATGGCTCTGAGCACGGTTCTGATGACAAGCTTTGGGGCTCTTGATGTTTGGACAGATTATGCAGCAGGCAAGGACATGGGTTTCAAACTACCATGTTAAAGCATGAATCCTCAGATCTTTTCAGCTCCGGTCCGAAGAGACAGAGATCCAATAGGGTTTCGGGTTCTGGTTTGTAAAACATACTACTGTTTTTCTCTTTTCTTTTTTGTTATGACATGTGCTTGTGTTCCATAGCTGCCTCCTGCAGAGGTTAAAGCTTTCCCTGTGTAAGAAAATAGTGTTTGGAAGAAAAAAAAAACATCATCTACATAAGACCTTGTCAGCTAGAGCTCTGAAATGACCTCTATATTAGAGGTAAAATTGGAGCAAGACAAAGGTTTTGATTCACATATTTGTATATTTGATGATTTGTGGTTGTGATTTAAGCCCTCCAATGAAACAGCAGTTAACCACCTATTATTCTTGTCACTAGAGAACTATTGGTTAATCAAGAACTTCGATATGTACCTTTAAGCTTGTGACTGATCTCGAGTTCTCCTATGATTTATCTTTTTGGTACCCTGCAAGAGAACAATAACCAGAAGATGTCTTAACGTTAAAACAAGTAATCACTAAACTCGATATAGCACATTCATAGTTCTACCTTCTGGATCAGACAGTTTCCTGAGAACATGTAGTTTATGGCTTGTTCTTCCAGAAACTGGATACATAATATGTCAGAGAAGAATACATTAAACATTTACGGTAGTACTAAACAAGAAGTTTCCCAGACAACATGAGCGAAGTCACATTGCCCGAGACACAGGCTCCCAAAGGGCCGAAACAAATCTGTGCAGTCACAACACACCACAATCAGGAATTCCAAACTACGACCCCCAAGAGAACTGTGAAACCATTTGACATAAATCTTCAGCCTCTTGATAATCTGTCATATGCCCAATCTTAGCCTGATGCAAACATCTTAATTAGAGAAAAGACCTGCAGGAAAAACTTCAGATTTACTAGAAATAGAATAAAGCAGGCCAAACTAAGTTAACAGCCCTCGGAATCAAACCTGCTGGCTTTTGGTCTCTCATTAAGCAATGTCACCACTCCATCTTTTGTAAATTCTGCTTTACACAGTCCTCTGCGCTGCCAACATCACTATTCGCAGTGATATCATGTCTCTTCAATGCAGAAAGTGGTTGTCTTTTACCAGTACCTATTTCCCATTTCCTGCGCTTGTCAAAGGGAATGCTAACAGTGCCCTCTTTTTTCCGCTGATATTTAGGAAGCAATAAATCAGCTTCCGGATTTGGTTAAACCCAATTTTCAAAGCCATTGCTCGTTACAACCCATGTTCCTTCAACGACAAGCATCAAATCGCACGAACTTGTGGATGAGACCTTAATAGTTTCACTAACTCATACGTCCATTCAAACAAATGAAATAAAATTTTTCTCTAAATTTTGTCATCTACATCGTTATCTTGCGTTTTCTCTCTCACCAACACAAAAACCAAACATTCAAGATCCTAAGGGAAAGATGAAATTTTCATGGAAAACAAAAATAAACCAGAACAGAAACACAAAGCTTCAAAATCCCAAGGGAAAGATGAACTTAGACCTACTGTCGCAGGCTCTCTGAAATAACCCTGTTAATTCCGGGAGACATCAAAACCTGTCCTTGTCAATCGAATTCGAGAAATTAGGGTTCTTGGATTTTACATAGAAGCCATCGGAGAAAGGGCAGAGGAGGAGGAGCCTGCTCGAAAATTCGAAATAAGATACAGCTTACTCTTAGGAAATTATAACGTTGCTTTTGTATTTTATATATAAAAAATAAATAATAAATAATTATTATATTCCTAAAAACTCGTGGGCCTATTTATGGGTATACGGGCCAACCGATTCAGCCCAACAACACAACGGTCAATTTTCCGGTCAGAAAGTACTAAACTCCCATGCGAGATGCAATCGGTTCTCAATCCGACGTGTCAGAACAAGGAATCATTAGTACACATGTCAAAATATTATTGGCTGAATCCATATCAAGTTATCTAAGAAAAACACTGGAACAGATAAGGTGTTCTTGTTGATGCCCGAATCCAACCACATAATCATATACCCCTCACTGTCTTACCACCGAAAAATATAATCCCAACGTATCTGAGGGAGAAACAGAGAATCCAAAAAAAAAAATGGCGCAAGCTCTGACTCCGATGACCGGCTTACGTGGCACGTCTCAGGCAGTGTTGGAAGGGAGCCGGCTGAGAGCGGCGGGGGGGGGGGGGGGGGGGGGTTTGGTGGTGAGGGCTCAGAGTCAGAGCGAGGCGGCGCCGGAGACTAGCCGCCGCGCCGTGATTGGGCTCGTGTGTCATTTCTAGCCGGCTTGTTAGGAGGTGTCTTCGGGATAGGAGGTGGAATGCTTATAAGCCCTCTTCTTCTTCAGGTTGGAATAGCACCAGAGGTAATCGAAACCCAAGTTTCTCCATTCTGCTCAATAAGAAATCACTGTAGCACAAGTCTTCTCAATCCTATAAGCTTCTGACATGAACTCAGGTGACAGCTGCAACAACTTCTTTCATGGTGTTCTTCTCAGCCACGATGTCTGCAGTGCAGTATTTGCTACTAGGTCGCCGATGCTATTCCGATCAAAGTCGGTCCTCCTCCGCCTCCCTCCGGCGGTCTCCGTAAGTTACCATGTTTTGAACTGTTTTTAGTTGATTATACGAATTACCAAAATAAAATTATTATTGATTTTTTTTTTTAGAGAATAAAGAGAACCTTCATGCTCATTCCGCATTTAGGTTTGGTTCGGTAATATTTGGTTTTTTTTTATTTATATCTATTTGGTTTTTATATGAGGTTTAGTTCGAGTCAATTTTAGATTTGATTTGGTTATAGTTAAATTTTGGTTTTTCCTTTACTGTGATATTTGGTTGGGATTAGATTTTTTATTTTTTTAGAAAAATAATTCTTTATTATGTAATATTCTTTTTTTTTTGTAAAAAATATTATGTAATATTCAAATACAGTAACATAATACATTATTATTTATATCACACTACTTTTTCGTTCCAGTATTTGCTATCAATTTACTACAATCCAAAAACAGTTTATTAAGATTTTTCAGTAAAGAACTCAAGAAAATGGACGTGTTTTGAGTATGGAAACTTTTTTTTTTAATTATTATTATTATTTCCGGCAGCGGGGACGTTGAACTCGGACGAAGCGAGAGATCTGAAACTGCCGTACAAGGACAGGTTCTTCTTGCAACCTCTGTCACCGACGGAAGCGGCGGCTCGGGCCAAGGAGTCGGCGAAAGAGATCGTGAACGTGAAGGCGTTCATCGACAAGAAGGCGTGGCCGTACGTTCAGAACGACCTCCGCCTGAGGGCCGAATACCTCCGTTACGATCTCAACACCGTCATCTCCTCCAAGCCCAAGGACGAGAAGCAGAACCTCAAGGAACTCACCGGAAAGCTCTTCCAAAGCATCTCCGGCGTCAGTTTCCGCTCTTAGGATCCCGTCCAACTCCCCGTTATCGTTTTTTTTTTTTGTTTTGATCTGATATCTTTTTTTTTTGTTGTGGCGGCAGCTGGACCATGCGGCGAAGATAAAGAGCACTCCGGAGGCGGAGAAGTACTACGCGGAGACGGTTTCGAGCTTGAACGATGTTCTTGCCAAGCTCGGTTAATAAGAAGAAAGATCTGTTTTGTTGTAATTATGTTCATTTTGTCCAAATACTTTGGCCATCTTCTTCTTCTACTTCTGTCTGAATTCTCCACCATTTACAGTTCCAGTTCCAGTCTCGGAGTTCAACCTTAATCTAAGTTCTTAGGTAGGATCTTGTTCATGGGCTCATCGGATTTATCTAGCTTTACACTTAGCATGATCCTTTTGAATCTGTTTTCCGTAAATTTAAATGCCAAATGTGCAGCGATGTACTCTCACCGTTTGAATTTATTGGATAGGATTCTGGAACATGGACCCGTACATTAGGTTATGTAAAACTAATTTACAGAGAGTGAAAATCTAGGTTAAAACCCTAGGTCGAGCTATAGGTACGGGCGTGGATCGGATTGATACATTGATTTGTTTTGGGTCTTAAAAATTGAACTTTGGATGTTCAAAAAAAAAAATACTCGGTTACTATCAAGTAATGTATTACTTATACCCGAATTTCAAGATACATTAAGGTTAATATTATCATTCTTTATAAATATTAGAAATACGTTTGTAATTTAGAAAATCGATGATAATTTTTGGGATTTTAAATAAACGGGAGATAATCTTTTCGATTCATACATAATAATATAAACTACGATGTATCGGGTTGTGGAAAATATACATATTGAGGCTCTTTTTTTGCAGATTCATCGATTCTTGGAGCATGATTTCATGTCAATTCTTATCAATGGCGGAAAAAGAGACAAAGATTAATTGAAGCAAACAGACATAGAAGATGGATCAATACAGTTACGTACATGTGATTCCTGTCATGTCCAAAAAGAGAAAGATCACCAAAGTTTCATCAGCATATAACTCGGAAAGAACTTCATCAAGCAGGGTCCGAACGCTTCTGTTCTCGCGAGGCGGCGGTTGCAGACACGTAATAAGCAACGGAGAAGAGGCCGTGGACGAAGCAAAGTATCCCTCCGATGGACAGAACCCGATGGTGAGAAAACCCGCAAGATTTCCTCGATCTCGAATTCGCCATCGTCCCCACGATCAGCATCGAGAACGCCACCACCAGTGCGATCCTGAGATAACATCATAAAACAATGTCGGAATCATCTCTCCGCAAGTTTCTTTCTTTCGTTCAAGATTCCGAGATTCTACCAGGAGAAGACGAGGGATGCCACTGCAAGCTGCTTGTTGGCGGAGGAAGCTTCAAGGTCTTCCCTTGACCGGACGCAAACACAGCCGCCGAGCAAATTGGCCGTGACATGGGCCAGAGCCACGAGCACGGCCGCAGCCAAGCCTAGCTTGAAGGCTGTGTAACTCGGATCTCTACACTCGAATATCCACATCCTCAAATGCTTCACCTGTTCACCATCATATATACGTCATATTCCTATCATCAATTTCATCTAGGGTGAGCGTTAAAACCCGATACATGGCCGCAGCCAAGCGTAGCTTGAAGGCTGTGAAACTATTTCACGGTTACTCGGCTGCAAAACGAGCCGAGTACAGATGGAACGAAATGAAGAACCCATACCTCGGGTTCGGATTCGGGGTTTTGATGCCGCGTGATGGATGGGGACGTGCAAATATAAACCATCTGTTTTAGGTTAATTACAATAATATCTAAATCCATTTTGTTACAAAATCATCATTTTAGGTAATCAACCCGGTCAATAAAAATTTATAGATTTTAACGAGTTTAGGTATCTGCGGATACCGTTTGTCATCAAAGTTACTTGACTCTCACCTAGTCGAGATCGAGATACTTCGATCAGCAAACCATAAGAACCAAGCCGAGTACTCTGAAAACTCAGATATCCGATACATAATTACCGTTAATTTTAATATAACTAGTATTTTGATGTGAACCCATTACTACAATTTGAATTCATATCCCGCATAATATATTTTCACTCGAGGACTTCTGCTTTTAAAAAGATATTAACAATGTATACCTTGTTCTGAGCTGTTTCGGCTTGAATACCAAGAATTCCGGCCGAAACATCCATGGCCAAGATCAATATGCATATCAAGAACCCGAAATTTTTCGACATTTTCTGAGGAAATGTTATGAGCTTTCAATTGAGCGAAAATGGTTGTCGTAAAATAAGGAATGATGCCAAATTTGCAAACGTGTTCTTGTATATTAAAGGCGGTAGCTTTCGCAGAGATCTAGGTTGGATGGAATAAGAATAAAGTGTATGAGAACCCTCTTTTGCATGCACATTACCAAAGTTTACGTATGTATGTATGTATGTATGTATGTATGTATGTATGTATGTATGTATGTATGTATGTATGTATGTATGTATGTATGTATGTATGTATGTATGTATGTATGTATGTATGTATGTATGTATGTATGTATGTATGTATGTATGTATGTATGTATGTATGTATGTATGTATGTATGTATGTATGTATGTATGTATGTATGTATGTATGTATGTATGTATGTATGTATGTATGTATGGTTTCTTTTATTCCTTCTTTGCTCAATACTTACTCTTTTGGGTATTCCTGATTCTTTGACAGAGTGGCCAAGAAAAGAAGGAACATAAAATTGCCAATCACATTTTTTCATGTACGTTGGCATGGCATGTAAAAGTGTTGCGATTACAGAAAATGCGATGGCGTTTGCGTTTTCAGGGCGATCTGCTGTGCGCAAATTACCGTTTTGCCACTGCGCGAACTGTTACGAACGAATCCCGTACGGGATTTTAATTGAGATGGGCCTGTGATTGAAGATAAATGGGCCTACTATACTGCGGCCCAAAACCAGTCATCCAAAAATAATAAATAACTAAAATATTAAATTAGATTAAAAAAATAGATATTAAAAAAATTGTGCAACGTTGGTTGGAGATACTGTAATTTTTGGTTTTAGACATCCATTGTAGCTTCAACCCCATCGATTCCTTATGTTCTTCGAGTTCAGTTCACGCCCCTGAAAACCCTAAAATCCACCGAATCGGAACTCTAAGACAGACACAGAAAAATCTGAAGCGAAGAAGTTGAAAATCCAGTAGCCCATTTCAGCAAAAAGATGGATCTTCGCTGTTGCCTTTTCCTCCTCCTCCTCCTCCTCCTTCTTCTTCCCGAAACAGATTGGAACCCATTTGCCTTCACCGATCCCGACGACGATGGAGCTCGAGAAGATTCGGCCGACGATCTCGGTGGCTGCAATTCTCAAGACGGTACCTTTTTTTTGTCCTTTGTCTCGACTTATTATGTGCATATATCTTCACTACTCTATAAACCGTATTCGAATTAAATATTCAGGTTCCGTTCATTCCTGGATTGAATACGAATCGGATAGTGGTATTATGCATCCAGTCATATGATCCAATCCGTACAATCTAGGGTTCTCATTTTATGTAACAACTCTGTTGATCTAAGACACTATTTAGTTGCTAGAGAATATATCGGCTTTCTTTTGAAAAAAAACGTATGTTTCTTTCTCACATGTTCATGGAATCTTGTTCACCGTTTGTTTCGGAGTCACTTAATATTTTTGGTAAACATTTATGGATTTTGTTAGTGAAGAGTTTCTGTTTTTGGACAGATGTTGTTGTCTGCGATTATAGTATCTTGTTGGTGATATCGTTGGCTCTAAGGGTTAGGACATCTACCTCTAATCACAACAATCAAACAAACTGTTTCGAAACACTTATTCATATAATCCTGCCGTCCTTCCTGGGACAAATTCATATACTTTGGAGGACGTCGGAATTTAAAAAGAAAAAAAAAAGGCAGAACCCATCATTGCCGTAAATCTGGAAAAATGGAGCCTTTTTTTCTGATTCGGGGAGGAATCAGTTCTAATGTCTTGCTTCTAATGGGAATATGTTTTATATTTGTCTTCAGCGTTGAGTTCCATGTTGTTGCTCGTGCCTATGAGGAGAGTCAGGTATGCAAGGTTTTTTTTCCATTGGTTCGTTTGTTCTTCGGTCATTTCATCCGGAGTTGGTTCAAATGGTTCGTTGTGATCTAATGAGGTCGTTTTTACGGTTGACAGATTCATATAGTGTACCTGGGTGAGAAACAGCATGATGATCCCGAGCTCGTCACTGATTCCCATCATAAAATGCTGGAATCGGTTTTCGGAAGGTAGGAAGAAAGTCGGTACTCTTATCTCATGTGGTTTTGACAAACGGTTTGGGATTTTATTTGTTTTATCTGACACTTAGTTGCTTAATTTGGTTATGAATACAGCGAGGAATCTGCACGTGAGTCGCTCATCTATAGTTACCGGCATGGATTTTCTGCCTTTGCAGCCAAGCTTACAGACTCCCAAGTAAAGAAACTTTCAGGTGCTTAACATCTTTTCACATACATAAGTTTAATTGTCATCGGAAATCGAAACTTGTAGTCCATCTTCTGACCGTCTGTTGATTGTTTAATCCCAGTTCATCCCGATGTCATCGGTGTCAGACCAAATAGGAACCTTAAGATGCTCACAACAAGGGTTTTTGACTACTTGGGCCTTTCACCGAGTTTGCCAACCGGACTTCTCCCTGACACCAACATGGGCAGAGATGTTATCATCGGTGTTATTGATTCGGGTACTTGTATATATCCGTCTCTCTTTCTCAATCACGTTTTTCTTCAGATAAGTTGTTGATAAGCTTAAGCTGCATTCAGGGATAATGCCGGAATCTGAGTCATTCAACGATGAAGGGCTGGGACCGATACCAAAACACTGGAAGGGACAGTGTGTGGCCGGGGATAATTTCGACCCAGCAAAGCATTGCAACAAAAAGCTAATAGGAGCAAGGTAATGTAACTAATGTTAGGAGGAATCAGTCTTTGTTTGCTCATTGATGCCTTATCGGAAAACCAAACAGGTACTATATGGATGGTTTCAAAGAAAAGAATGGCGCTGAAATTGCGTTCGATGATGAGTATAAGTCCCCTAGAGATGCTTATGGCCATGGAACAGCTTGTGCCTCGATAGCTGCGGGTTCTATTGTTCCGAACGCAAGCTATCGGGGTATGGCTAGAGGAGTCATGAGAGGGGCGGCTCCTAGGGCTCGTATTGCTTCGTACAAGGTGTGCTGGTTAAAGGGAGCAAGCTGTGGCTTGGCAGATACGGTCAAAGCGTTCGACGATGCTGTACACGATGGCGTCGATGTATTGTCTATCTCGCTCGGTGGCCAATCTCCCGTGGATTCGGAAATCGATGGAACCGATGATATAGCTTTGGGAGCATTCCATGCGGTAACAAAGGGTATTCCGGTAGTAGCTGCCGCTGGTAATGCAGGGCCTGATGCTCAGACTCTGGCTAATGTATCTCCGTGGATCTTGACAGTGGCGGCAACTACCCTTGACCGTTCATTTTCCGTGGTTATCACGCTCGGGAATAATCTGACAATTCGGGTAACTCATCCTTAAACCGAAGTAAGAATCAGCGGATTCAGCCTGTCTGATCGATACATTTTGTAACTCTTTCAGGGTCAAGCTGTATATAATCGCTCGGCAGTAGTATCCGAGGTGGTTCACATAGATGATTGGAACAGCAACACCAGTAGCTTACAAGGAAAAGTCGTGCTGATATTTTTGAAAAACGAAATGGATGTATTCATGGGTACGTCACAAGCAATGAGGACCCGCCCTGCTGGGGTGATTTATGTGAAGCCTTCTGATAGTATGTTTGAATCTTTCATCGGGATCCCAGAAATCTCCGTGAATTATGAAGCTGGAACTAAGATATTGCGATACATCCGTTCAACGAGGTATCATGATTGATGATTTTGACCTGCTTTCGTGATCGCAAAGAATTTGGCCACTGTTACGTATCTTCTTCTTTTGATGGCTATTAAACTGATCTGCTTTTCTCGCTCGCAGTTCACCCACGATTAGAATCAGCTCTACAGAGACGCCCGTAGGGCGACCTATTCCGACTAGAATCGCGGGGTTCTCAAGTAGAGGACCAAATTCGCTTTCTCCGGCCATCCTCAAGGTAATCTGGTCATCTCTATTTCCTCTCTTTAAATCAGTTCGTCAACAATCCTTGGTACCAAAGGTTAGTAACATTGTAAATGGTTAGAATAAGGTGAGCAAAAAGATCAAAACGGTACTTTTATCCGGTTTTGGTATAAAAATTTCAAAAGAAAATACAAATAAAGTCTCGGATGGCGAATAACACTGTAAATGGATAGAACAAGGCGATCTGTAATTGAAATTAAGAAATGAGAACTTAGTTTTATGGTGTTTTGCGAAATGCAGCCAGACATAGCGGCCCCGGGTTCACAAATACTGGTGGCTAGTATTATGAGTAACCCCAGGTTTGACACCGGGATTTCCTTGAACACGGGAACATCGTATTCAGCTCCTGCTGTTGCGGGAATCGTAGCACTTCTCAAATCTTTACACCCCGACTGGTCTCCTGCCGCGCTTAAATCCGCCGTTATCACAACAGGTTCTTTTCTCCGAATCCATCGAAAAACCAAACCCGTTTCTCGTTATATATTACACGACAATGCTGACTCATTTCGCGACTCCTTTTTTCTGTCTTTGAAGCATGGAAAACTGACCCATATGGACAGCCTATCTTCTCTGAGGGATCATCCCAGAAGCTCGCCGATCCATTCGACTATGGTGGAGGACTTATCAACCCGGAGAAAGCACGAGATCCCGGTCTTGTTTATGACATGGGCATCGAGGATTACATCCACTATTTCTGTGCCAGATCTTACAACGACTCTGCCATCTCGAAGCTCGTCGGGAAATCGGTAACGTGCCCGTCTCCAAGGCCATCGATTCTCGACGTCAATGTACCGTCAATCACGATTCCAGATCTCGACGAAGAGGCGGTCACCGTGACAAGGACGGTGACTAACGTAGGACCTGTGGACTCTGTGTACAGAGCCGTTGTCGAGCCTCCTCTTGGTATAAACATTCTGGTTAAACCAGAAGCTTTGGCCTTCAATTCCGACACAAAGAAACAGACGTTTTCGATGAGTGTTTCGACCAGTCATAAGACCAACACCGGATTCTTCTTTGGAAGCCTCGTTTGGACAGACGGGACAAGAAATGTGTCTGTTCCTTTGTCTGTTCGGACACAACTCGTAAAGCCTTAAAGAGACCTCCCAAGCTATTGGAACCGTGAAACAGATGCTCTGTATTTGTAAATGTTTTGAGTGATTGTGTGCTGAAACTCTTAGATTTGTTGGGTTTTATTTATTTATTTATTTTAGTGTGTTAATAATATCTTCTGAGTTGAGTTTTTGTTCTGCAATAAACCGATTCCCTGTTTTTTTTTTTTTTTTTTTTTTTAAATGGCAGGGTAACGGTGGATACCCATACTTGTCAAAAGATTTGCCCAATTTCCGGATATTTATGTCCATCTTTACAAACTGTGCCAACATGGATGTATCTATATGTGTAAAGATTTGCCCAATTTCCGGATATTTATGTCCATCTTTACAAACTGTGCCAACATGGATGTATCTATATGTGTACGTATACATGTAGGTAAGTAAAAAACCCAATTACTTTGACCTCTAACTGAATTCTCTTTTACATAACAAACTAACACTTATGACTAAAGATTCTCTCTCTCTCCTGATACTGAAGAGAGTGTATGTGAGAAACACCTATTTAACCAGACAACTTCCATGTCAGAAGAAGAAGTTAAACGCATTTCAAGAATTAAATGGATCCACTAAACGCATTTCAAGAATCAGTCTCTGTGTCGGTCACCAAACGGAGGATTGGCCACAGGAAAAACAATAAGAACAACGAGGGAGATGACAGTAAATTCACATCTAAGAACCTCGAAGCCGAGAGACGTCGAAGACAGAGGATACATTCCCGGCTTCTCGCCCTGCGTTCTCACGTCCCCGTCATCACCAACGTAATCCGAAACTCGGGTTTGATCCTCGTGTATATGAGGACGATATGTGCGGTATGTATGTGGATTGAGTTTACAATATATATCTGTGTGTTTTTGCAGATGAAGAAAGCGACTATAGTTGACGATGCGATAACATACATTCAAGATCTTCAGATGGAAGTGGAGAATCTTTCTAAGATGCTCCACGAAATGGAAGTTCCTGAAGTAGCGGTTGAAGAAGAAGAAGAAGAGATGGAGATGAAGCCGCGACTGAAAGATTCTCAATACGGGATCGGGGTTTTCTTCTTCACACCTTTCTTCGATCTTTGACTATGTTCTTGGATTCTTTCCAACAATTTTTTCATGATGAGATGATTGAATATATACATATATATACACACACACACACAGGAAGATGTTCATGTGAGTAAGATCGGCGAGAGCAAGTTCTGGTTGAAGATAATATCTGGGAAGAAAGCCGGCATCTTCACCAAAATCACAGAGGCCATGAGTTTCGTCGGATTCGAGATCATTGACATTAGCATTACCACTTTCAATGGGGTCATTCTTGTCTCCTCTTCTGTTCAGGTAACTCGGACTCAGATGTCGGTTTCAGACCATTTTTTTTTTTGGGCAGGAATAATTAAAGGGTTCCCTTTTTTTTCTTCTAAATCCGTTGAGTTCCAATTTCAGGGAATCCACGAGGGTTCAATTGATGTTGAACAGATGAGGAACTTGCTTGTGGAGGCCATGAGAAACGCATGAAGAATTGCAGATTCGCCATTATATAATACACATCAGTCCCATGAATTTTTATTAATTGATCACCATTTATTATTATTATTATTATTATTATTATTATTATTATTATTATTATTATTATTATTATTATTATTATTATTATTATTATTATTATTATTATTATTATTATTATTATTATTATTATTTAAAAAAATGATTTCGTCTTGTGAAATGAAATGTATTATGCATCAACAACTATAACGTTCAATATAATGACTATCATTATATCATATATTCAGCAATTATAACCAGAAGCAGGCTCTCGTTCCAATCAAGAAATCATTGAATTTCCATGAAAACTTCCATCAATAATTTCTCCAATTCTTTTCAATATCATTGATATTTGGTTGATTCTTGAATCAGTATTCATGTTCTTATAAACAAAAAAAAAACAAAAAACAAACGAACATCGGACGGTCTGAACCAGCCATTCACCGAGCGTCGATCACAGTGACAGTGACTTGGTTCACCGTCCAAGATTCATCGTCAGGTTGTCTGCTCGACGAAGAATCCGTTTCCAAAGGGCTTCTCCCGACACAGTAACCGGGCTGTCTCGGCTGCGGCATTGTCGCGGTCTCGCTTCCGAGCATCAACACTACCGATGACATCGTCGGTCTGTCTTCCGCCCGTTCTTGGACGCACAGAAGTCCGATCTGTATGCATCTCAGAACCTCGTGGTTCGGATACGAATCTCCGATCACCGGATCAACGATTTCGATCCCTTTCCCCTCTTTCCAATATCTCCAAGCCTGCGGAAAACGATCGGCGATTATAATCAGTTTGATCGATCCGTCGTTGCAGAAGAAGGAAGACGGAGAGAGAGATTGTTTTCTTGAGAGCTTACACTTCCGAGAAGATTGAGTTCGGTGTTCGAGTTGTAGAATCCTCTGTTCCTCTTACCGCTTACAATCTCCAGAACCAAAACCCCGAAGCTGAAAACGTCGGATTTCACGGAGAATGTCCCGTCCATTGCGTATTCTGGTGCCATATAACCGCTGCGTGCATAAAGAACAAAACCTTCAAGGACAGTTCGTTAAAACATGTAAAAGTTCTGTTTGGTCGGAGATTGGAGATGATGCTTGCTTACTACGTTCCCACGACTTTTCTCGTGTTGGCTTCTGTCTCGTCCCCTCCGAAGATCCTCGCCATCCCGAAATCCGAGATTTTCGGGTTCATTTCTCTATCGAGCAAGACGTTACTGGCCTTCAAGTCTCTGTGGATGATCCTGAACCGCGAATCTTGATGAAGATACAAAAGCCCTCGAGCTATCCCGCAAACGATACTGAATCTCGTTTTCCAATCGAGCTTAGAGCTTCGGGTTTTATCTGAAACTGAAATCTAATCAGTATAATGAAATCTAGGGCTGGATTCTTGAAGGGTTATTAGTTATTAACATACCGAAGAGACTGGAATCAAGGCTTCGATTCTCCATGTACTCGTAAACCAACATTTTCTCGTTCATCTCAACACAACAGCCAAGAAGCCTGATAACATATTGAAGACAAAAATGAATAACGAGTTACTTCAAATACGAGTGATCGAAACGAAAGTAGGAGAATACCTGACGAGGTTCCTGTGCTGAAGCCTCGCGATTAACCTAACCTCGTTCTTGAACTCGTCGACCCCTTGAACCGACGTTTTGGATAGCCTCTTCACAGCGATTTCTTGACCGTCAAGCAACCTCCCCTGCCATGCATTACATATAAAAACATACACAGCTGAATATGCATGCATGCATGCATCCACGTCCACATCTTGAAGATGTTAGGGTTTTTTTTTCTTCCTTCTGTGAATGTTTTTACCTTGTAAACACTGCCGAAACCGCCTTGTCCGAGCTTGTTGCTGTCTGAGAAATTCTCTGTAGCCATGGCGATCACTTCAAGCTCAAACAATGGCAGTTCAATTTCCTCTCTTTTGCCTTCGCTCGACACGTGTCTCCTGCTTGATATCACCGCCTCTTTCATTAGCAGATCTCGGCTTCTTTCTGGGTTCGCTGTTTTTTTTTCAGACATTAAAAAAAAACATTGTATTAAGAATTTAAGAGTAATCAGTGAGAAATTAACTCATCATAATCCAGGTTTATTAGTCATTATCCTATAATAAGATAAGATAATGTGGATTAATTAATTAATTAATTACCATTAGGCTCAGCGATTGATCTCGTTTTCTTCTGCTTCCTCTTCCAAAGACAGAAAAAAATTGAACCCAGAAACAGGACGCCAAAGCTGACGACCAAACCTGTAACTAGGGCATTTCTACTGCTTTCGTCCCCTGAGATGCGAATCAGACATATAAATATATCAGCTTCATGATATATATATATATATATATATATATATATATATATATATATATGTATAGTGAGGGTTAGAGTTATCTATGAAATTATAATCACTAATAGAAATTGAATGCTTCGAAAATGCATACGAAAGAAATTGAATACTGAAATTTTAATAAAAAAAAAAAAGTAATTTCATGATTTATAATAAATACTAAAAATATTTTATAATTTTAAAAAATTAAAAGCAATTATCGTAATGTGTAATAAAATCATAAATATTTCTATATGGGATTTTTTAGATGAAAAAAAAAACCCAATTCGCACAGATTAAGATAGCGTGCGAATGGTAATTCCTAATTGAATCGTTGGATAATTTTGATATTTGTTTCCCTTTTTTTAATCCACTTTTTATGTTCTTTAACAAAGAGATGCCATGATAAAGCATTTTAGGAAAATTAAGAGGGAACACCTAACTGGCCCACAAAATCGTCTCTCTCCTGAATCATTGGACCGACTTTTGTTTCTAAGATTGGTCCTAAAGCAACCAAAAATTGAAAGAAAAAAAAAATGGTCTTGAGATTTTATTTTGCAATCGAAATGTTAGCTCGCTTAACTCATATATATTCCCTTTTAAATAATAACCTGAGAAATTTCAGTTTTTATTTATTTAATTTAGTTTCTGGAACAATGGAAAGGTAGGGGGAGACTTGGGCCTCCGAAGGAAGTCAGGATCGTCGGCCTAATTCAGACACGTCGGTCCATGGTGGGCCCATCTCCACCCTCCGTGGTTTCAAATTTCAATCGTGTGTCAATTTTACATCCCAACAAAAATAAAAATAGTATAAATGTTACAAGAAAACATTTCAAGTCTTAAAGAGTGTGTATTTACGTTTTCATTTTTCACAACTGCTCAAGTAATGTATCACCTTAAATTTTATATTAATATACAATTTTTATAATATTATTAGATTTTTATTTTAAAATATTATTTTTTATTAAAAAGTTTAAAATGTAAATCCATCGTTTTTAATATTATTATTTTAAAATATAATAATATGAAAAAATGATGATATTATTTTTGTAAAAAAAATGGAGAATATTTTTTTTTATTTTTTTTAAAAAGGAGAAAGGAAAAGAGAGAGAGATTTTAAAAAAATAACTTGGAAAGAAAAACAAAAGAAAAGCATGAAACACGAATCTGCGAGGAAGAAGTGGGGAAAGACGCAGCAGCAACTTAGAAAAGGCAAAAGTGATTATAATGCCTCTTCTCTTTTATGTGCGACGATACATGTACACATTCATTTCATTTACATGTATGTCCCCATTGTGTCTTTCCATATATATATGTAATTATAACCTATAATATATTTAAACATCTTAAATATCTTTTGTTATATGATCAAGGTGATTATATTAGATTCACTGTTTTTTTTTTTGGGGGAGAAGATTATTGTGTAATTATATGTTTTGTTAAATTTAAACTTAATAATTATAATGATGAATTCTAATGGAATTGACACACTGCTTACTACGATCAGGGACCATGCAATGATCATTTCATATATCATCAAAGAAGAAGAAGGAGAACTGACCGAGATCAGAAGCAGACAATCTGACAAAAAGATCCTGTCCGCCATCGGAGTAAGCTCGAATGTCCAGAAGATCGCCGACCCAAATCACGCAACCCGACCCGCCATTCCTTATATCCGTATTCGCAAACGCCGTACACTCGCAGTTCCTCCTACACCTCTCCTCGCACTCCTTCGTCCCCACCGTACGGTCCACCATCGCCGCCGTCGTCTCCGGCAACTTCATCTTCCTCAGCCGCAAAAACTTGTCTCCGCCGCAGCTCAGCCGCGTCTTCCTCACGCACCCTCCCGACCCGTCTCGCAACGCCCACGCCTGTGGGTTCCTCGGCTCGAACCCTCTGATGCAGTTACACACCGGCGACGTGTTCGTGTCGCAGTACCCGTACGAGCCACACTCTTTGAAGTTGTCGCACTGATCCTTTGGCGCGTACCAGAACCGGTTCCACTCCTGCTCCGTCGGAATCCATGTGAATCTCTGCAATAACCCAGACGAGCTCACGCTCAGTCTCGAGTAAATGGAGCTGTTCGTGACGTGGAACGAGTACGTGACCTCGTCCTTGCTCGCCGTGAAATTGAACGTCATGTACTTCAGTGGCTGCATCTCCGGTACGCCGCTAAACCGGACTCCGTTCCACGGCCCGCTTCGATACACCCTTGAATCTCTGTTCCAGAGGAAGATTTCAGGGAAGCCTCGGGATTCGAGCTTGAACAAGAAATCTCCGGTGGAGGGATCATCCGGGCTTCGCCAAGAGGTTATGTATCTGTCGAATCCGGTTCTCAGATCCCAACCGAGTTTCATCTCGGGGAGCAATGTGTCCGTCGGGTGATCGAAGCTTTGCCACAAGAACTCATCCGGGTTGTTGTTTTCCGAGTCTCTGAACACGAAATTTCCATTGTCGAGGAGCTCTGCAACCGGAGATTTGACTTCTCCGGTCAGATTCGTCGACCAGACGGGGTTATCAGCTTGATCGAAGAGGGCGAGGTTTCTGTCGGAGATCTTGAGAGTTCCGGAGGAATTGGAGAGAGGGTTGTCTCTGTTTGCGACCCAGACATATGTTCGCTTCGGGATGGTCTTGTACCAAATCCCCAGATACCAACTGTTCCGAGAATCGCTGGGCTTGAAGAATCCGAGCTCGAACACACCGCCGGGAGAGACAAGGGTCCGATTCTCAGAAACCGTGAGATTTTGGGTAGACGATAAAGTGTCGACAGAGATCGAAATCGCTGGGAATAAAACAGAGAAGAATGCTGAAAGGAAGAAGAAGAAGCAGGTGATGTAAGAATGGTGGTTGTTTGGTACACCTCTCATGTCTCCGTCAGTTTCATATGTTCATGTCCGAACGCCAGAGACTATAGAGAGAGAGAGAGAGATGGGAATGGTCTGTGTTGAATTTAAATGCGAATTATATAGTTTCATTTTGTATGGTGGAGAGAGGAAAGGGAGGATACAAATTCGTATTGACTATACGTTTATTATTATTATTATTATTATTATTCGGTACAGCGACAATATAGATACGTGTATGTATAGAATCGTTTTTCTCGGTCTCTTTGTTCGTATCTGTCGTGTGCCACGAGAACACGGACGAGGGGCTTTCACATTCACCGGCCGATCCAAAATTTCCATCTGATTTGTTTCCCAATTAGAGCATACCACGTTTTTTTTATTGGGCTAGATGCAAAAATATTAGGGTTTTTTTTTCTATTTGTTTTTAAAAAAAATTATTGATTAATTTTTAAATAAAATTTATTATTTTTTCCAATTCGGTGTAAACTTGAATTTAAAATTTTAAAAGATGACATGATTCAATTTTTTATTGTAGTCGCATTCCATTTAGACAGGAATTTAATTCATAAGCCGACTGAAATGCCCTCCCCTAAACGAAAATGTTGCCATCTGCATTTAAATGTTTTTTTTTGGTTGAAATCTGCATTTAAATACTTTTTTTTAGATAATGGGTATCGCGGACCGATACCCAAATTAATCCCGAGATCAGGAGTAAACCATATGATTGGAATTACGATTCTCTTTCCGATTTGAGATTCGAAATCAAGACGGAGTATATGGTTTCTGTTTTCGTTTCACCGGTTGAACTATAAAATTTTTTAAATGTTGGAAGGGACATTTCATTATTTACTGTATAAGATACGTTTCTTTCATTAATAAGAACACTAGAGCTAGAAATGTACTAATCAATTAATGAACGAATCCGGTCCCAAGTTTCTTAATGGCGATATTGCGAGTTTCTATTATCTTCGTATTCCATTTTTTTTTAGTTTTTGATTTTTTTTATATTAATTTCAATATAATTTATGTTCTATTCGGGTCCAATTTGATTTAGATACAATTTTCTTCATCAATAAAAATATCTTATATGCATTTTGAATTATATAAGCTTGATTTAAAATATAATTTCATTTTTTTACCGTAATTAATAATCATAACTGCACTCGGGGAGTGGTTAGAGGAATATATATATAATATGGGTGATTCCTCGAACCGTGATAGCGATATTTTGGAACTTGAAGTTATTTTTATTAACCATTTCAATTAAGTTTTTATTTTAATTCCTGTAACCATTTCAATTAATTTTAAAAAATATTTTTGAACTTGAACGTTATTTTTGTTTACAGTTAGTCCCTATATATGTATTATATACAGTCACACTCAAATTAAAATTAACTAGGAATAGGTCCGCATCAGATAATACTACATGCTCTTACATAAAATTTCTGAAAATTCTTATCATTTTTATCCGTTTTTTTTGTAGATCTGATTATATCTAATTCAAAGGTATAAAATATTTTTATTGTTAAATAATCAAATCTGGCCTAATAAATTCAACTTTTTTTTATCATTTTTAAATATTGATGAATTTTAAATTGCGAAAAAAAAGGCTGTTAAATAAATTTCCACACGGTCTGGAATCAAAGGTTGCAGCACCACAAATATAATAATATCCGAAGGCGTATGAAACACGTCGGTCCCCTTTTATTAAATTAACAAAATTTATACAACATTTTCTTACAGCAATTATAAAACAATATATATATATATATATATGGTTTTAATTTATAACGAGACCTAATTTGGTCAACTGTTGTAAATCAATATGTTGAACATTCATATACTTTGTAGTAGGTAATAATAATAGTGTATCGGATACCATTTTGTTTGTATTTTTTCTCGTCTATACACTTTGCATTTTGTTATACAAATTTGACTATTTAAAGTATTTGTAATTTCTAGAAAGTTAAACGTTGGAAAATTTTAAGAAACAAATTGGAAAAAAAACCATTGGTAGAAATATAAGAATATTACATAATTTTTAAAAGTTATAATTATTTTTAAAAATATATTATTCTCTTTGTACGAATCAAATAAAATCTATCATCATATATTTCGAAAATAAAATGGTATTTTAAGGATCACTATTATCTTTTCCTAATAATTTTTATATATTTCGGTAAATTATTAACAAGTTCATGCAATGTCGATATATATGGAGGAGATTAGTTGACGTGGACTCGTTAAACATGTTTCAGTCGCTCCAACTGTCGTCTACGTTGACTTTAATAATCTGTCTTTGAACGTCTGTTTTCAATGTATTTACAAGCCGAGACTAATTATTCACCCATTGATTTTTTTAATAGTATGTTTTGACACTCCACATATAAAATGTTCCGTCAATTTTATATTGGAAATAAATTTAAGAAAATACAGAAAAATCGGTTTTTTAATTGCGAGAATGTTTTTTTTTGGGACTAAATCTATATGTATATGTTATATCACAGCGAATGATATACAAAAAAACCCGTATATATGATATAATATATATATGGTATATATAGACTAGTAGGGGTGGTGGTCGTTTCCCTTCGGTACTTTATAACGGAATCACACTGAACCAAAAAATACGGTACGATTCTCAAACCGAATCATCCCAATTTTTAAATAGTATTTTTTTAAAATCGAACCGAATTTTTAAAAAACTCCAAAAACCCAAAATTTATTAAAAAAATCTAATTTTTAATAAAAACCGAACCGAATATAAAATAATAATCAATTGATAAATATTTTTATAAAACCGAACAATTTTCGAAGCGAATACCGAAACGTCCACGCCCCTATAGACTAGTATGTACGAAACCTATGCTAAATCCCGTATGCACACAATAACCATTCTGATCAGATCGTTTCCTCGCATGAAACTTCACTTGAAGAACCAATACAGAGCAAACATTCATTTTCGATGTTAATGGTTGCGAATTCACAGATGTTGCCGCAAAACCCATCATCCTATTCTGTAGTTCTTGGATTCCCCATGAAACTTGTAACAGGAAATCCGAAAATCAACCGTACGTTAGGGAATAAAGATTACCAGTAATAGAAAAGCTGGATTCACATACTTTAAAATGGCATTTTCCAAAAAAAAAAAAAGGAGGGAGAGAGATGTTCCCGAAACTATGGAGGGACATCCAATATTTTAGGGATAGACAAAAGGGGTCGGAAACTGCTTCAGTTTTTAGATTCTGTCTGGATTTTAGGTTTCTCATCTTCAACGGTTAAAAAGTGTTTAACCGTTAAATCTCCATTGGAACTGAGAAACCTCTAATGGTCTTTCCACTGATTAAATAGTGGAAATGTTCCTTTCGTTTACCTCCAACCATTCTTCTTCTCATTCTTTGCTTTTCTTACAAGAAATCTTAGGGTGTACTCTCGTGCCATGAGTTGTACATCTTGATTAGAGTTATTTGGGTTCCCCTTTGATCGTGAACCCTAAACCATTGATCAAACCATGTACATAGAATTCTGTCACAGTGTTAGGACATAAATCTGGTCAAAATCCGAGGTTCTTATGAGTTTCTTCGGGGAGAAGTTATCGATAAAAGCAATGTTAGCCTTCTCAAAGACTGTTGGATTGATCCAATCTCGGGTTAGCCGTTTGGTATTCATCAGAAACTACCAGAAACAACCTATTCAAGTTGTCTGGAAGAAACCCGAGATCGGATGGACAAAGCTAAACTTCGACGGCTCCAGCATAGGAAGAGAAGGGCAAGCCAGCATCGGAGGGATATTCAGAAACCACAAAGCCGAGTTTCTTCTCGGATACTCAGAATCCATAGGGAAAGCCACGAGCTCCATGGCTGAATTCGCCGCTCTGAAGAGAGGATTAGAGTTAGTTCTTGAAAATGGGTGGACGGATCTTTGGCTTGAAGGAGATGCTAAAACCCTAGTCGACATTATCACCAAGAGAGGAAATGTTAGATGCCACGAGACGAAAAGGCATGCAGATTACATCAATGTGGTGATACCCGAGCTAAACAACTGTGTATTGAGTCATATATACAGAGAAGGGAACAGAGCTGCTGATCAATTAGCCAAGTTAGGGCATGAACTTGGTAAACCACAAGTTTGGAGGCTTAAGCCACCGAATGAAGTCTTAGAGATCATGCATGAAGATGCAGAGGGAAAGATTGTCCTCAGAAAGAGATGAATCCAATCTTCATCTTCTTGATGGTTTTGTATAGTTTCACGTCAATATTTGGTGTTTGGCAATTGTACATATGATTTATATTGTATATATACGTAAATGAAACATGTAAATATAGATTCTTACAAGGACAAAACCAAGTAATATATGAATACTAGAGACTGGTTTGTTTCTATTCCCTGTTATAGTTTACATAATGTATAAAGCTTACATGAAATTTCAAGGACCTGTATTAGAGCATTTCGACATTAAACCACTGATTATAGAAGATATGTTTCCGCATTAAGTTTAAAGTTAATTACTTTTCCATATCAGTTCCTAGAGGAAAGGGTTACGACATGAGCAAATCGATTAAATCATAAAGATCATGCAAATTATATATAGAAATTTACCAATGACAAATGATACTTAACTGTGCGATCAAAACCCTAATACCCTGGTAAATGTGTTCATGCCCCTCAATGCACAAGAGGAAGAATGCATGAATTCCGCATTGGTTAGAATCAGTACCTGTGGTTATTTCAACGGAATGGTTGAATCTGAAGACGTGAGTAGGCGGATTTCCTTCACTGCTTCACTGATTTTGTGGATTGCCATTTTCTTTACCTGGATTTTGAACCAATGGTTTGCATGTAAACAAAACACTTCTCTGTTCTATGCCTTTTCTATTAAACTCGGAAGTTGAAGGATTTTTTTTGTTTACCTCGATCATATTTCCTCTTGATTTATGGTGTTGGGGAAGGAGACAGAGCTTATCCACTGTTTGGATAGATTCGGTAACGTGTTCAGGCGAGAAAAAGCTCAGAACCACATCGACACAAGACTGGCATGAATGTGGGGAAGATGCATCAGAAGAGAATAAAAACTTGTCATTATATAATCAGTGGAACACTTTGTTCCATAATCCATGAGATGAAATAAGAAAAGCGGAAGAAAATGACATATCGAGTCTCGTGGTGTTGCAAAAATAGTACCTTAACTTTCCTTATTTGATATGGACATCCAGCAGAGATGATGACTGCTTCCTTCATGTGTTGTTCGAAAGTCGAGTATGTTATTAAGTTATGTATCGAAGTAAGGTGGGTTTCTAGAAACGAGGATGATTCTTACCAAACTCATCCTTAAGCCTTGCCTTGTGAGTATGCATCAAGATAGTAGCTGTGATCAAGTAATGGATGATTCACCTGCAAGAAGTCAATAAACATGGGAAAACATCAACTCTTCCCTCTTGTAAGAATATTAAATTGAAGTTCCAGACACTCTTGCTTCTACTGGAATATCTACGTTCTATCTCATGTGAGTGCTTCTTAAGATACTCCACTAATTTCGGAACATCTTGACTCGGGAAGATGTCCCATTGAGCACCGTAGGATCTGCCTAAATCTCTTTCTTCACATGAATGATCACAGCTTTCTCTTCGTCGTCCCCCTTGAATCTGCCAGAGTCGTAATCTGACTGATCCTCCTCCCCATCATATCTTTCAGGTGCAAACCCAAATTGTTTCTTTTGCTCTAACAAATCTATCGATACTTACTGCTTTATCATTCATTGTCCCGGATGCATCCCTTTCCTTATCGACCACATGATCTTGAGTCTTTTTCCTTTTCAAAAGTTTTCTTATCCTACAAATCTGCTTTGCGGATACAGGGATATCTGTGGCATGGAACAGAATATCAACCTGCCGCAACAAATCAAATCAACAAGACAATTACAAGTAGCTCTAAAAAGTTGGAGAGCAAATTCAACAAAACGATCTGACCATTCGGATATATTGGTTTCGGGAATTGTATAATTTTGGTTGTCTAAGAGCTCTAAACCCATAATTCTCAAATGAAAGATACCAATTATATAGGAATGAGTTAAAAGCTTGACAATATGTATGATGAGACCACACTATATAAACTTAAGCAAGTTAAGGAAATCTATACTGAACTAGAAAGCTTTTTAAGTAAACATACCTTATCACAAAACTCAAAACCTAACTTTTCCACATAACCTGGCTGTACAAACTCCTCACCACTCCTGTAGTAAATATTCAGACACTTCAGCATAATGAGCAGGGAACTGTTCTTCAAACAACCAAGATGAAACCCAACCCTGCAGCTTCAGTTTCTCTTGACATGTATCTTAGCATTTCCTCTCAAAGATCCCAAAAAAATGGCTTTACTGCAATATCTACCTGTCATTGTAAGAAAGATGCTATTTACAGAGTAGATATAGTCCAAGATAAAAGGAAAAAATAACAACTAAAATAGAACTTAAACAATCAGAAAAGAATACTAACAGGCACAAGCCACCAACCTCAAACCAGTCCAAGCATTCTGTAGTTTTATCTGCTTCATCATTCTGAGATTTGCTCTTACTGTACTGAAAATGGGCACAGAACATGGCTACTGGATCCCAGTCCAAGTCGGACACACTCTTTTGCGTTCCCTGAACTATTACTGGTTGACCGTGACTCCACTGCGTCTGAAAGTGTTCAAGATTGTTGTGGTTAAATTCTATCATGGTGGAGCAATACAAAAAGTTTCCATAAGCATCTTCCCTTCTAGCCGCTTCTTTCAAGTGCTTGATCTTTTCAGATTGATTTCCCATTCCAAGACAAAACGAACAGCCTGAGGATTTATCTCTAGCTTGTTTGTCAAAGTAAGAGGGTCGTTACAACACCCAGTTACTTCCCTGTCTGTACATGGGTAAAAAAATCAGACAATGCCACTGTTATTTGCATCATCCCTAATGGACACCATTGGAACCAGAAAAGGAAATGTCTGAGAAATAGTTTAGTTATGGATATCGTTGCACTAAACAAGCAAACTAACTTAAGAAACATTAATCACAGAAAGCCAGCCAGACTAGAGAATTCATAAAAAAAAACTATCCACACCTTTCGTTTCTGCCTCTCTTTCCAGTTCAGCTTTGTGTTCTGCGTTGATTTGTTTGAGTACTGGAAGAAGCATGCATATCAGATAATGCAGATGCAAAACTCTGTCGATTTCGCTCATTGTACAAAACACGTAACATTTACATGTTAGACTTAAGGCTTATCAGACACTCAGACCTTACATTCGGTGACTCCAGACATAGTGACTGAGCAGGCCTTGCACCTACATGATCCTCGGCATATAGGGCATTCTCTCTCAACTTCTTCTCTCGATCCAGCATATCTGAATCAGTATAACCCAAGCATCAATGGATGCCTTTTTTAACTGAGCAACAATCAGTACAAGACCCCTTAGCATTTTGGAAAATCTACGAATCCTAAAGAAAAATCTATGACTGCCGTAAAAGAACAATAAATTCAATTATAACGCTAGATGCAAACGCAGAAACCTAATGATATTACCATCGAAAGAGAACAACTTTCACGAGCAAAAACAGTAATCTACATCAATCAAAGCAACATAAACGATCATGGCTATGTCCAGCGGAAACAAAATAAGCCAAACACGGCAAAGTAAGCGAAGATACCTTTTTCCTATGCAATCTAAGCAAAAGAATTCTCTTTTACAACTTAAGCAACAGATCAAATTTCCAAATCTCTGGCTCCCACACCAATGACACCTCTTCTTTTTCTTCTCCTTCATCACGTTAAGCAAGTTGTCCTTGAAAGGCATCCCCTTTATATCAATCACAGGAAACCCGAACAATTAATACAATTACAATGAAGTTCTAAGTTTCGACATTTACAAGAATTGGGAATAAAAATGGGAAACACTAATGGCGCATACCACCATGAATTTTGGATCAATAAAGAAACGATTTAAACTTATACCTGCATAATGCCAACAGGAAATGGCTGAATGTTCTTGGACCTAAATCTTCTCCTGCTTACTGAAATTGATTCCACGCCCACTTTTACATCACACTGAGAAGCTGCATTGCTCGTGCTTGGAGAAGATGAAGAAATTGCCATAACGCCATTATGAAGAACCCTCGTCAGCTCTTCTTCAGAACCCTCGAAATCATCGAATTCTCCACTACTTTCCTATTTTTCTTATTATTCCTCTTGTTCGGCTTCTTCATCTTCTCCATTTCTTTCTTCAACGGCATCCTTAAAAAAAAAAAACCTCCAACTGGACATCCCCTCTCTTTAACTTCATCTTCCTCACAGCCTCGTCCACGGCCTCGGCCTCTCCCATAACTCGCTTCCTTTTCGACATTTTCCTCGAATTCTCCGATCTTTGAGTCCTAACTCCGCCGTTTGAATCTTTCCCCGAAGATTCTCCGACCTTCAGCGACTCCGGAACTTTCTGTCTCCGTTGCCTCAAATTGAGCTGCAAGTGGTGAATTTCGCACATATTCTTCTCCACCGCCGCCAGTCTCTTGCACCGCCATTTCCGGCCGTCGGAGCGGCTGCATCGGAGAGCGTCGGGCACAACCTCCTTCTCCGGAATTAACAGACGGCAAGACACACCGGGAAAACTCAGTTCCAGCGAAACCACCGGCGAAATCACGGAGAAACTAGTGAAGCTGAACGCGGCTCTTCTTCTGGTCCTTCGAGGGAAAGAATGGTTTTTTTCAAAATTGGATAACGTAAAAAGTCAACAATAACGAGAAAGAAGAAAGAAAGAGTGGAAAACGAGGTAATTATAGGGAGAAATAGAGGAGGTTTTGGTAATTTAAAAAACAGCAAGCAATCACAAAGAAGATCTTTCTTCAGTTTTCAGTTACATTCCTCGGCGTTTTTTTTCCTTTTTCCTTTTTATTTTTTTTCCTTCCCCCCTTCTAATCTATGGGCTGCAAAAAAAATCCTTATATTATTACCACATTTCTTTTTATTTTGTGACAAAAAAAAAACAAAACAAAACATGTCATATTATATTATCACCATCCGAAAATTATAGACGTAAAATGTATCATGGATAATATAGAAAATTCCTTTTTTTAATTAGCAAAATGCGTAGTTATTTTGCCTGTTATATTGTTTTGGCAACTGTTATATATTTAAAGTGCATTACTATATGTAAAATAAAATAATATAAATGCTCAAAATAAAACCCGTTGGTAATGCAACTGTTGTGTGTGTGTATATATATATATATATATATGGTTGATAATATATAGTTGATCAAATTAATTTTCTTAATTGATTATATATATCGCTTGGACACATGGACGGGCGCCCGAACGTAATCACATCTTAAAAGAATAATAAAAAATAAAAACCATATAATAAATAACAACATTAGGCTATAAATATTAATCAAGCAAGTATCGAGCAACACGTACGTTATATTTGCATGCATATGATTACGAACCAACATTACACAGAGGAGGAGCTTAGGGATTTTTGTGCATAGATAGATGATTGATTAAATTATGAAGAATTTATCTTTTTACAGAATCTACGTATTTTATTTTATCTATATTTTTATTATTAAGAATTATACTAAAAATTAAAGATGTACATATTTTTTTCCATTTCTTTATTAGTAAAAAACTTTCAATGTATATTTAAATTTACTCGGCAGTACGTTAGTAAAATGATTACAAACATTAATCTTTAATATTAAAAAAAAAAATCTGAAAAATAAAAAATCTCTTTTTAGTGGATAATAGCAAAACGATCCAACTATCCACCAATTAAAAATGCTTCATTTTGCATTATTTTCAATTTTATGTTTATTTATTTATTGGATGGATCATTTAACAGAACAACATCGACACGATGGAAAAAAAACCGTCTATATCCACCAACGCGTCCCGAACCTTCGTCCATGACCGGATCGACAGGGGCCCACCAGCCCCAGGTTTGACCGTCTGAGCCGGTTGTTTCTCCCAAACCCTGTGGCTCACTTCTTCCGCTGCTCTCCCTTTATAAGAGCAAAAACTCGCTCCGGAATCGATGAATGGATAGAAGGAAGAAACTCAACAACCGTGCAGATGAACAGATCGATAAACCAGTTGGTCGGAATCGGAAAGACAGCGAAGGAGCAGACGATCAAGAGCGGCGGAGGTGACGCGACGCTGAGATCATCGTCTCCGCCGTGTTCAGTCGGTTCTTCGTCGGTTCGGAGGATTTCCGGGGGTCTAGAGACGAGCGGATTCGGTGCGGCGGCGAGCGAGAGGCTGAGACAAGCGGAGGAGTCTCTCCGGACAGTTATGTTCCTGAGCTGTTGGGGATCCTGTTAATAGAGAAAAAAAAACGTATCACAGTTGCTGTTTTTTTTTTAAAAAAAAAAATTTGTGCGCGTGTGAATATTTTCTTCTTCTTCGTGAACTCCTACGTGTTGATTTCGTTCTGAAGAATATATGTATAATAGAAATGCTTTCTTTTTTAGGTTTCACCATTTTCGAATCTGAAATAAGCTTCTTTTTTTTTGTTACAATTGCATGTAGCATAATATTTACAGCGGAAAATGGGTAAATAATATTTTACTGAATATAATAAAGTCCAACATAACTTCCAACAAGGCTTAATTTACATATCCACTCAACTCCACTGCGATGACAATCACTTCCGTTGCATATATATACATATACATGTGTGTATATATATATGAACGTTAACCATAGTCAAACCGGGCGTTAACCCAACCAATCAAATCCACTTCTCTCTCCCTCTCGGAGTGAAATGGCCGTGACGGAGGAGAAGCCGGCATCCGACGGCGGATGTTGGGGTTTCTTCAAGATGCCGTTCCGTCATTCCGGCGGCACCAGCAGCTCCGCCTTCACCCTTCCTTCTCCGTCTGGAGCTTCTGCTTCTGCATCTTCTAGTGTCGAGTCAGAATCGGCATGCCACTCCTTCAGTGTCGCAAAGTCGTTTCTCCCCACGAAGCGCCGGTTGAAGCTTGATCCGGCGACTAAGCTCTATTTCCCTTGTGAGTTTCTTGAAATCTCACCTGATCGCATCGCTTTTGCTCTTTGACTTTGTTTTCTCTGATCTGACTTTGTTCTTAGGCCATCAATTTTGTTGGAATTGGAAGTTCTGCGTTATTGAGCTGATGCGGGTTCTTTGTTAAGACAACATTTTGATCCATTATTTCTGGAACTACTAATTTTACAAGTAGAAATGGACATGTTACGAACACCACTAAAACCCTTCTGATTTTGGATTCAAGCTCTCTGAGGTGAAAGAATTTGGTAGATTCTTCTCAAATATTTGGGCAAGATGTAAGATTTTTCCCTAGTTGATTCATATTTTGAGAATGATCTTGTTCTTCATCTGGGGATTATGAGTGATGTTTTCCTTATTTGGAATCTGCCTCTGCCTTTAGCTGGAACTTGGAAGATTGATCATTGCTTGCAACTGAGGATTATCTGGTCATAAGTAGGTGTCTTTCTTGGGTGTTCAAATTCCTTTAATATTGTTCGTTTCAGGTTTCTGAAAATGAGTACTGAATCATTTCTGTCCAGTTAGAATTTTAAAGAGCACTGAACCATTTCTACACTTTGTCTGAAGATGAGCCGGTAAGAATACAAGCAAATCTCATGTGGCTTTTAAGGTTCATTCTGAATCTAAATGACTTTACCCTCAATTCCAATTGTGAAGTTTATGTGAATTCCTTCCTTGGACTAAACGGGTGTGCAAGTTTTGCACAAATTTCTTTAGTATTCTGATCTGGAAATGGTCTTCATTTGGTTTCTTCAGTTTCAAACAACCGCACCAAAGAGTTGCTTCATGCGGCCACCTGGTGCTATTCTTGCTCCTGGGGAGACGATTATTGCAACTGGTATCTGCTTTTATGTTTTTCCCATCTGCATTACGTATTCTTCGTGATCAGGCTATTTTGCACATGAGGATTTTGTTTATGTTTCTTACTGAAACTTTGTAGTCTTCAAATTTGCCGAGCCTCCTGAGAGCAGTGAAAAGGATATGGATCAAAGGGGCAGGGTGAATGAAGTTCAAAATCATGAGCCTGAAGGTGAAAGGCCCCATGGACCATGTGCCTGAGCTGGTACGGCGATCCCTTTTTGTTTTTTATTTCTTGGTCAGGAGATCCGGCATGAACTTCATGGCTAGCATAGCTGGCCCTAATCCGCTCCTCCATGCTATTAATTCTGTGATGTGGTGACATATATCTGCTTGCTAAGAAACTGGAGGAAGAAGGTCAGACTCTGAAGGGTATATATAGTGTATGCAAATGTTCCTTAATTTGAGATTAAAGGGAAATTCATCGAGCAGCTCATAGCCTAGATCGCCACATTTCATGGTGTTGCAATCGAGTGAGTTACAATAATTTCGTTCTCAATGCAGTATTACCTCTTTTTGTTTGCCATCTTTCAATGGGTGGACGTTTCTTGTAGCAACGTAAAGAGAAGGCATACGTCATACGTGGGATGGGATATTGGACATAATGTTTCATAGGTATAGTATATATTTATAGATAGAACGAAATCGAATTGACGCAGATGCTGAAGTTGAGGCACGCAAGAGACGGCCGGAAGATGCTTCTGGTCCAAAGATGATAGTAGGAGGGCTTGCAGTTGATAAAGACAGCGTAAAGATGTATATGTTTTTTCAATCATATAAAATACGGGTTCTGTAATTGATACGAATACGATCAATAGTATACAAGCCTCTCAGTAGGAATAAATAATAATCTTAAAAAAAGGGAACATTTCTTTCATTGTCGTTTGTCATGCATTTTTTTTGTTATTACTGAACGTAGGACCGGAAAACAAAACTTCTCCGTAGGAATTTGGGAAAACTGAGTATCGTAAAACCCCGTGAAGCAAAAGCAAAACAAAACTGAGACGGTGAAGGTGTTTGCAGAAACATGGGACTTGGCTAGGAAGGATTTCTCTAGATGCGACTCGAATCCCTACCGAAGATGAATCGCCTCATCCAGTCCGACACCACCAGCACTCTCGTCCGCCAACTCACTTGCTTACTGTGTAATACCACCATTATTATCATCATCAACACGTTTGATGTATAAAGGTAAAAGTATTTGACCAAAAGACGTTACCTGGCGTAGACAGAGTACCACAGCCACTGGCTGGTCTGTCCTATCGAAACCCAATCTCCCGGAAGCTGTGCCGCCGTCTGCTCCCCTCCTAGTGGCGCAAATTGCCCGAGATGTCGATACCTGTAATTATAAATCCACATCGATAACTATCGAGATATATTTTGTATAACTGGGGGGGACTAGATATAGAGTCAGAGACCGAGAGCATGTTAAAGTATGAGTTGCACCTGAAGGGACGGAAACGATGACGCCCTTCTCCCCTGATCCTTATGGGACCTTGAGGATTGTTCTCGCATTCGTCCATTCGGTTGAAGCATGTTGCTAGGTACGAACCTTGCTGAGCAGCTACCTGTCATTATTGTTACACCAAAACACACATATTTGCATGTGGGTAAAACTGTTTCTCCGAAGATGGAGTGTTTTTAAAATGAAGTGACTCTCTCACCTGTGCTGTGGCAGGAAGAAACTTCACTTCCGAGTCGACCTGCGAGAGAGCCGACTTGAATTCCTCAATGTTCAATTCGATGGGCTTCTTGGAACCATCGTCAGCTTGGGCTTGTTTCAGAAGATCGGCTATGTCTCGCATGCGCTTGCTCTTCAGGTAGAGCTCCACCTGCGGGTATCTGACACATATGTCATCTATCACTCCTTGGAATTCTTTTACGGTTAGCGTCCCGGAATTGTCCTTGTCCGCTTTCTTGAAAATGGCGGAAACGTCTTCCTGAAAAAAAAACCGCAAAAGGAAAACGTGATACTCTTCAACAGTTGAACCGCTGCTACATCAAAATTTGATTTTTTTTTTATGATGTTATTCTACCGAATGCAAATGGAGATTTTCTACACAGAAGGGACAATGTTTAGTTACCATGACTTTGCGCTGGTTAATTGTCGCACAATCACCAAGGGCGTATATATTGTCACATCCTTCCACCCGAAGCCATTCATCAGTTGCCAAAGCACGTCTGTTGCCCTGCAATTACAAAAACAAATTGCTAAAACACATTTTGCAAGTAAAAACTAAGGGCCGACGTGCAAATTGCCAAACGATGCTCTCACCTGTCCAATCTGTTTCATAAATTCTCTTATCACAGGACGGGTTCCGATACCAGTTGACCAGACAATCATTCCGTAAGGAATAGAAGAAACCTCTCCGCCTTTGGTTTTGGCCGAGATTTCCTTATCGTTCACTTTGGTCACCATGGAACCCAGTTTCACGTCAATACCATCCCTTTTAAACTTTTCTTCAGCAAACTCTGTGATTCTTTTGTCAAACCTGTGAAAGAAAACCAATGTTACAAGCGCTTTCATGCAAAAAGAATCTTACAAATTAAATAAAACAGTCTAGAGGTTTAACAATCTCACATGGTCAGGATGTGGTCTGCTGCCTCCAGAAGTGTGATTCGTGCCAAACCCTTGACTCTAGGATATAGCTTGACAAGATCCTCATTGACAAAATCATGAAGCTCCGCGGCAAATTCAACACCTGTTGGTCCACCACCAACAACCACAAAATGTAGGATTCTCTTTCTCTCTTCGTCACTTAGTTCGGGTATATTCGCCTTCTCAAAGGAATCGATGACATTTCTACGGATTCCCTGGGCATCTTCAACTTCCTGAAAATACCAGTCCATTTTCTTAGAGGCCCATCAAGATGGAAATTTTACACGTCGTTAATATGATTCAGCAGTTTATCTACTACATCCACATACGAACCAGCATTGCGTCAAATGTCATATATCAGGTGGAGCAAGACAATGAACTAAGATTGAAGAGAAACTTACTTTCAGGAAATGACAGTTCTCTTCCACCCCTGGAATGTTGAATGTGTTAGACTGAGCTCCAGTTGCAATTACAAGGTAGTCATAGTCAACTGAAAATTCCTTCTTTCCGTTTGAATCAAGGCCTTGCTTAGATCGACAGTAAACTTTCTTGCTCTGTGGATCGATTTTGAAACATTCTGCCTCCAAGTAAGACATATCAATGCTTTTCTGCTCGCCAGGAAAGGAAACAGTGTGCATATTAGTACTTCGTCAATCAAAACAATGCTGCAAGTAGGTGAGTGAAGCATATCAATGGTACAAAACAAACATTGCCCACAGAAAATTTCTGAGAAAGAAATCATGCTGTAGTAAAAGACCGGAATTAACCGACATATCCAGTCGATGATCTATGTTTCACAGAAATAGAACAGAGCACTGTCCTACGCTGAAAGGAAAAAGAACACAGCTAATTGGACTAAGTCATTATATGAGTGTCACAAGAGCACAATTACCTTTCTACCGATGTTGCGGATGGGTTCGACAATACTGCGAGCTTCAACAGTTCCACAGGTAACACTTGGTAGCAGGGGAGTGAATGCAAAGTAGTTCCGAGGCGATATAACCTGAACCTCATATGAGGCATTATTCAGATTCTTCAAGAAACTGGTTCCAGCCCATCCAGTTCCGAGAAGCAGTACTTTTTTCTTCCTTGTTCCAGTTTCAACCGGAGCAACACCATTCGTGCCATAGGAGGCATTCGCTTCAGAATAGGCAATAAGTCCTCCACCACTGTAAGAAATGACATGAAAATCATATAACAGACAAGTAAACATCCGCTTGAAACTGATGCTTCAGATTTAAAGCCAGTCATCTATTTGTCTGATAGAAGGATTTATCTCCACAATGTAGATTGTAAAGAAATCGAAACATGTAGCAGTGGAAAAAAAAACAGAGATCAGGAGAAATCGGTTGAATAACTTTTCGACGAAAAATAGCTTTGGACCTCATCAGGTAAATAAGATTAAATTTCGTATCAGAATCAATGTGAGTCAGATCCGGACAAGCAACCATCACAAAATCCCAATCATACACGAAACATGATAGCTCAAAAGGAGATATGTAAATGTGCAGGATCATCGCATAGACGTTACTCACTGAAAATGAAAACGGGTTGATAAGTTTCTTCCTAAGCAAAGTAAAGTAAGTCTACAGATTAAAAAAAAAAGGTACAGAACATAGATAGGAACGCCAAGCAAATGTAGCGTCAATAATAAGCAAAACGGCGAAAATGTTTTTTTGTACTTTTTGAAGAATGAGAGAATATGTGTTACGAAGCGTCTTCAAAGGAAATCTTAAACCATTTCACGAAAATCATGGAAAACAGAGAGAACCGAGCTTAGAATCTGATGCAGATACATACACATGTTGAATCGAACAGGAAGCTATTGAAAATCACGAACGAGACGAAAATACGTAAAAAGAAAATCAAAACAAAAGAAAACGGAGGACGACACTGGAATCAAAGGAAAAAAGAGACGAATCGAGGAAGAATGCGAAGCTTGCCTGATCGTGGAGATGACGAGAATCCTGGAGAGAGAAGGATGATCATGGAAAGCTCTGGAGAATCTCTCGTAGAAGCTGAAACTCCTCATCTTCACCTGTTTGATTGAAGCTCCTCCAAGATCTGCTTATGAAGAAGAACCTTCACTAACGCCGAGAATCCTGGAGAATGAAAATGGAAGGAAAAAAGAGGAGAGAGAGAGATCTAGAGAGAGAGAGAGAGAGAGGTGACGGTGGAAAAGTTTGCGTAGGGCGAGCGTTTTGGTTGAACACGCGTCAGGAGGGAATATACCAAGTCAAAAGGAGAAGATGTTGGAGAGCAGAACGTGAACTGCGTGTCGTTTTCTGCGGCTTGGCGGCCAAGGCAAGGCCTGCTTCCACATGCTTTTTCCTTTTTTCACAACATTTTTGTTCAATTATTTATCATATTATTACATATCATTAAATGAGAACGCCCGAAAAAGAGGGTGGAGGAGAGCGTGAACTGCGTGTCGTTTTTCTGCAACCTAATTGGCTTGGCGGGCAAGGCAATGCTTCCAATTCCATGGTATTATCATACGATACGATGCAGGCAGAGCCAGCCGTCTTTGCGAAGGGTGCAACCAAGGCCTCCACAATTTTTTTTGAAGAATTAAATATTATTATTTTAATTTTATTCTTTTCAAATAGGGTTTTACCATAACTGGACTTGATTTTCTACTATCTTTTGATTCTATGAATCTGTATCTATTATTTTACGTTATTTTCTGTACTTATAACTTTTATTTTATTTTCTATAATTGTATCTTTTACTTTACATTTTTAGTGTTGATTGATAGTTAGCATTTAATATTATGACCATTTTGTTAATGTTAAGATTTAATTTAACTTTATATGTAAATAAAAATCAAATCAAAACAATCTTTTTAAACACTCTTTTTTTTAGAAAATTACACTCTTTTTTATATCTATATATTGCAGGCATTCAAACATTAATTGTATATTCAGTTTTATTAATAGAAGAATCTCTATCGTTTTCGAAAATCAAGAGAGAGTGAACGAATTAGTATTAATCACAATATTTAACGGTTTTATTAGAACAATTAACTATTAAGATCTAACTAACAGTTTTGTTTATTTTTTTGTCCATTTATTGTCTGACTATTTATATCATTGTTTTATCATATTTAATAAATTTAAATATATAATTTTATAAAATTTAAATTTAGTTTATATATATATATATATATATATATATATATGGACGTGAGAGATATGACTTCTCTGTTTTGGGCCAATTTTTTTTATAAAGTATGAGTGGCGTGTCAATTTATTCCCGAAATCCGATTTCGGAAAATTAGCGGTTTCGGGTCTAATTTTTAAGTCCAAAAAAATTAGGTTTTCGGATCGTACTCAAATCGAGTTTCGGACTCGAGCCGGATCGACCCGAAAGCTCGAAATTTAAAAAAAGAAAAAGAAAAAAATAACATTTACAACAAAAATGAAACGGTCCGACCCGATCCGACTCAAGTCCGGAATATATAGGGCCGAACTTCGGATTTAATTACATAAATCCGAAAAAATCGACCGGTTCGAACCCGAATCCGAAACCTTCGTAAAACCAAGATTATACAAAAAAAACATCATCATAAATAAACAGACATCATCAACGTCAATCAGGTACAAGCATTAGGCAAAGCCGCCGTCAAACGATTCGAGAGATCGAGGTGGAGTTCCCCTGCTCTGCTGGTAAGACACTAAGATTGTCCAGAGAGATCGGGAAAGAGGACAGAAAACGCGGGCGCGCCTGATCGGCCAGCCGCCATGTCCGACTTTCAGCGAGTTCATCGCCATGATGAAGATACTCTGACCACACTCCCCACCAATGGAAGAAGCAGAGCTCGGCCTTCCATGGCGGCTGGAACAACCGGGCAAACCGATCTCGTTCGTGTCTGAAAACCTTTCGATGTTCGGGACCCGTGTCTTTGAACGTCGTGGTGCTCCTCTGCAAAATCCTCGTACCATTCTCTCTCTCTCTCTCTCGCGTGCGCTTATCTTTCCATAATTTGATCTCCATAGTTGGACTGGTTACAATACTCGAGAGCCATCTCAGACGAGGAAGGAATGGAGAAGAGAACGGGACACGCGCAAAAGAGACAGAAGCCGCTCTTTCTCGGCTGCATAACACACACATTACAGAGTTAAAAACCAGAGAGTAAGCTACAACAAAAGAGCCAAACATGTTCAGAGCAAGATCAAACCAATGCCAAACAGAATCACACTTGCAATCGAGAAACATAAAATCTTGACAGTGATTTTACAGGTTTTTCAAGTGAATCTGAATCCACCCAGCTCTCATAATGTAGTGTAGTGAAATGGGTTTAGATTTCTGCAATCGAGCAACCAAAACCATGCATGATAACTCCTATGAACATCAGAAGACGAAGAAGAGATCATTCAAACGAGCTCGAAGCAAACGAAACTAACCATTACCCTAATTCAGATAGTAACAAAAAACAAGCAAAAGCTGAAAAAATTTCTTCGTCTGGAGATCGTAACCCACGAACCAGGGAAAGGAAGGAGAGAGCGAGAAGAAGAAGGGTTTACTCACAAGAAGCAAAGACGCGGCTTTGTTGACGTGAAATTCTTCTCTCAGGGGATGTAGAGAGAGAGAGAGAGATGACTTTGCGTGCGGGGAAACTGTTCTTTATCATTCGCTGACGAAAGCTTCAGGCGTTAAAGTGAAATTGCAAACCGATCAGGAACACGAGGAGCGATGAATGAAGATGCGTGCACAGAAATCGATCAAACCCGAAATTCAACGAATCGGTTAGGGACATTGATTAGCCGTCTCGATACACAAAACCCTAAACGGAAAACGAAAACCAATACGATCTCTGCGAATCATAACAAAGGAGAAGAATTTGAGGGGGGAAATGGGAAAAGCTGACATGAGAAGTTGAAGCGGGAGGAGAAAGAGGAGAGCATGGGTCATGGAGGCATAGAGAGGGCCGCCATTAATGCCTCTGCTCAGAAGGATAGGGGGTCCCACGGAAGAGGAATGGCGATGCTGCGTGTTGCAGTGGCGATGATCAGAAGAAGCGCCCTGGGTCTTTGCACACCTTACCAAATCTATCTACGTTACAAATTAAAATGTTAAAAAGAAAGGTGAAAATGTCAAATCATTTTTTCTGCAATTTAAATCAAATTTCATATTCATTTTAAAAAAATCATTGACTCTAACATCTATGATTTATTTGCAAACCATAAAACAAAAATCAAATTTACTAAGAGATTTTGCAACCTTTTCAATCTATTAAGGGTTCCAACTCAAACCAAAACCAATATAGCACGTAGTCAAATCCAAAAGAAATATAATTTAAGAATCGATTATGTGTAGTGTTTATTGAATAAAAAAATCAGACTCTAATATAACTGCATAAAATGAAAATGGTTTTGAAGGCAAAACAAAACAAACAAAAAATAAGTTTAAAGACCCAAAATTTAAAAAACAAAAAACCTCAAATCCAAATTTATATAGATACCATATGGATATATATATATATACACACACACACACGTATTGTTGCATGAAACTATTAATTAGGTCCAACTCTTTAGCCAAGAACATGTAATTGAGCAAGGAAGTGCCATTACAATATAAGGGTTGATGTAATGTAATAAACACCAACCACATGCAAGTAACAAAGCCATGGAATGAAGCCATTATCCCGAAGTGGATCAGGGCGTTGACTCGGTCAAAGTCCATTTCAGTCGGATTACAGACAATAATGGGTTCCGACCAAAAGCCACGATCGGATCGCATAGAAAAACATAGATACGAGATGAAGCCGCTTCAGTCCATCTTCTTCTTGTAGGGACCGACGTGGTACGCATGCTTCTGAACGAGAGCGAATGCGACCATCTCGACGCACACCAGCACGTTCTGAATGGCTTCCTGGATCTGCTCCACCTCCAACCACACGTGCTTCGATTTGATTATTCCCATCGCCACCAAAATGTCAAGCGCCACTCCCTGCACCACCATCATCATCATCATCATCATTCATTCATTCATTCATTTCCCATTATCATCATCATCATCATTCATTCATTTCCCATTATCAAAGATCTAAGATGTTGATCCGTTATTTTCGGATATAAACCCGGTTCTATATATAACCAATGGGGTGTCAAATGAGCCGGTTCGGCTCGTCTCGGCTCAAATCGAAACGAACTAGCTTGTTTCGAGCTCATGTCGCCAGACTCAGGTAGAAAAACCTCGACTCGGCTCGGATCACTTGGTTCACGAGCTAAAAGAGTCGGTTTGCGAGTAAAAGACAAATACTATATTTTCTATTTATATTATGAAAATATATCAACATTTTAATATAGAATTTAAACATTAAATTCAATTTAGAGTTTGATCGCTCTTTGTTTTGGATGAAATTAGGATTTACGATAAAGCAATTATAATATAATTAATATTGTACACAATATCTACAGACATGAATATAAAAAAATATATAATTTAAAAAAATATATATTTCAGCTCGCGGATCAACTTGTGGCTCATCGAGCTGACTCAATATAGCTCTCGGCTATGGCGAGCTGGTTCATCAGACTCGTTTTCAAACGGGCCTTGAAAATACCGATTCACCTCGTTTAAAAACAAGGTGTTAACGAGTCAGCTCGCAGTTGGACTCGTTTTGACATCCTTACTAATACTAACCATAAGAACACCGAACTTCATTATGATCACGAGCTAAGAAAACGGGTTTTGATTGAGAATCTCCATGATATATGTGGTTCAGACTACTTCCATTGTTAGTTGAATTTGCTTGGCAATGAGAGAGACATTTTTACCTGCCAGAAGCAGAAGAAGACGATTCCTTTGATGCAGAGGAACTTTGCGAGCGGATTGTGAGGGGCAAGCTCTTTGGCGAAAACATGGTAGAAAACCACAAGGGAGTACAACGCAAGAGAAACCGAGATGTTCAGGACGATGGTGAATGTCCAGCTCAGCCACGAAGGATAGATCCCGAGGATCTGGAAAGCTATCATCAAGATGGAGCACACGGGCCGGATGATCACGAACTGCCATGTCCAGTATTTGAGGAGTTTCAGCGTTCGGTGATCCAACCGGACAACATGGGGCTGCCGACAAATGGACACATGACATGATTACAAACTCATTCAATCAAGAAGCGTATAAATCTCTCGCGAAACTTATTAGATACAAACCTGGAAAAGAGTCATTGGGAAAGAATGGTGAATTTCTCTCCCTTTGATTCCATCCGGCACAACGTTCTTGCTGATGGATATGTTCAAGTAACTATACATTAAAGCCAAGAATTTCGCAATCACCTGCAAAAAAACGAGGAGACAAGAACACGGGCTGGTTACATTCGTAGAGACAGAAAACGGACAAAAAACACAAGAACACAACGAACTCACGAGCGCCTCGTAGCATTCCTTGATGGACTCTAGAAACAGGAAGAAGGTTTCGCTTCCCTTGACATCCAGCAAACCCACGAAGGAAACGGTGGCATAGATCGGAGCCATGAGGATGATGATGAGAATGGCTTTCTGCTCCTTTGGGTTCTTCCAATGAAACAGGTGCTGAGAAACGAGCTGTATGGTGAAATGAATGGTCAGAAAGACGCATACTCCCGACCCGATCAGCGTTATCTGAGGAGGTTTCAGGTTCGTTAGGTCCATCATTCTCTCGCAATGCCACCAAATCCTGCATCCAAAGTTTTCACAAACGCTTCATTTTCATGTTTACCATCTCACAAAACGCATTCTCAACCTTTGTATCTCCACGAAGAAAGCATCAAGATAAACGTTTATGCAGCCGAGGATCTTCAGCAATGTATGTGTTTATCCTCGATTCGATTTCAATTTCATACTCAAATCATAGCATAAACATTATGCAATCGTGTTATACGATTTCACTGAACTACGTTCTTTGAGAGTTTCCAACAAGTAAATACCCAGTCTATGCCAGTGCGATCAAGAACACGAGAATCTCGAGATCAACGGATCAATCCGCATCTATATCTCTGGCAAATACAAAGACGTAAAAAGGAATCGATTGCTGGAACACGATTAGATCATCAATCAGTTGGAAAAAAAAAACCGAACACAGATCGAATCCCGCATCAGACAAGAGAAAAATGTCGTCTCTCCATTCGCAGACCAGAGTAAACAACCAAAAGCACGACAGATATCTGCAAATCTTAACAAAGAGAAAGAAAACATACTAAGAGAAGCTGACCTGAGTGAGAGAACTGCGAAGTGGAGGAATAGAGAGAGAGAGAGCGGATGAAACTCAACACGGGGTAGGTTTACTTAGCGAGATTCAAGGAGGCACAAGATCGCCATTAATGGCTACTGGGGAGAGAGATGGGTCGGGACCCACGAAGGAGATTTATGGATTATAGAAATGGTGAGGCGTTATCCCACGTGAGACGCTGTGATTGCACAAGAAAAGGGTCAAATCATACACATCTGATGCGTTCCCACGACCCGGGTGGTTAGGAAAGAACCAAACTCAGGCCCGTCTTCCGTGTCTCGCTGAACGTGTTGAACGTGTTCTATGGGAATAAGATTTAAATAAATAAATGGACCCAAATCTAAACTAAATATATAAAAACCATTTTATTTTGTCAATAAAATATAAACATTATTGACTAATTAGAATCAAAATTGGGTTCTTTTGGTTTTGTTAATAAAGGTCATTCAATTATCTGATGCGATCTTACATTTTTGTACACAAAATTCCTTTTCACTTAGACAAGGTAAACCTTCGTATTGAAGGGAGAGTTCCTCATATGCCGTATTGACTATATGTATATGCATGTCCATGGATGCGCATTTTATGTATTAAGTGAATAATTGAAGAGATTACGGTGAAAGATGGATGCTTTATGAGTTTATGGGATGAATTCATTGGACAAAGGAGATTCTTGTCGAAATTATAGATGCGATGAAAAGTCATGGACGATGAAAAACAAGACACGGCCACTTTGTTCGGACAATGACTACCTACGTGTGGCTTCAAAGGATTTTACTTTTCACACTTCTCTGCTCGCCCATCACAGGGCAGACTCCATAGCAATCAGAGAAAAAGAAAATGAAGGCGATCGTGATTTCGTCGCCGGGCGGTCCGGAGGTTCTGCAGCTACGAGAGGTTGAAGACCCAGAACCCAGAGACGATGAGGTTCTGATCAGAGTCCAGGCCACTGCTTTGAACCGAGCCGATACCCTCCAGAGGAGTGGCTCTTACGCGCCGCCGCCTGGAACCAGCCCTTACCCTGGTCTCGAGTGTTCTGGAACCGTCGAGTCTGTCGGGAGGAACGTCTCTCGTTGGAAGGTCGGAGATCAGGTGCGATCGATTTCTCCCTTTTGTTTCTGGAATGAGGAAATCGTGGTTAGGGTTTATGCTGTATCTGGGTTTTGGATTCTGCTTCTGTTTTGGCTGGATTCTGTGTATGATGAGCTGATTGAAGAACATAACATGGGTTTTGTGTAACTGTGCAAGTGTAATGGCTAAGCACTACATCAGAAAGGAATTGTTTGGATCAAGTACTAGCAAGTATGGAATTGTTTGTTTCTGTGATTAGGGTTGGATGGCACGAAAAAAATTTGAACTTTCCAAGATTTGTAAGTTCTTAGAATTAGCATTTGATAGCCTTCCTGCCGGAATTTCGAAAGTTCACTTCTTTTTTGGGGATCTAAGGCAGCTTTGAATCGAATTTCGATACCCGCCTTTTCCCGGCGTATAGTTTCAAACTAAGCAATTCAGTTTGTATCCATGGAGCACTCCCGCATGCCCGAGTAGTGCATATCGAAAAATCGGTTGAATTCCGACGAGAGGATGATTGCATCTGAGTGATTGTTCGTTCTTGAGCTCTTTATCTTACGCTTTCGTTTATATATATATATGTATCGTATATACACGTTCACATATAGACACCTCGCTAAACAGAAGGAATATCTGATTATTCGTATCACAACAATCTGTTGAATCACCATTAGTTGAGCCTCGAGACTAATGGATGAACTCTTATGAAGCTGCATCTTTCTGTGGGGGCGTTTGGGTTCTGTCTCAGGTATGTGCTCTTCTTACCGGAGGAGGATATGCGGAGAAAGTGGCTGTTCCTGCAGGACAAGTCCTTCCCGTCCCTGTCGGGGTTTCTCTCAAAGATGCCGTGGCCTTCCCCGAGGTGGCATGCACTGTTTGGTCTACCGTTTTCATGATGGGCCGCCTAGCTGCCGGTGAATCCTTCTTGGTATGATATCTTGTTTAAGCTATCAGTGTTTGCATATTTGCTGAGCCTAATTCCTTGATTATGTGAGAAAAAGTTGTTTACTTTGGCCGAACCCGAACACGGTGTCTCGGGTTTCACGAGATATTATCCAATCTCTGATCCGTTTTGGTCGAGTATCCAAAGGTCGGTACTCAAAACCGATCTTCAGATAAAACGTTTTGATTTTTGTTTTTAGAAATATGTATCATATACTAGAGGCTGAATCGGGTACTGTGTGCTAGAGATTTTCCGATTACCCGAATTTGGACCCGAAATTTCTAGAGCTTTTAGTTAATATTGATTTGTATGTAGTTTATTTAAAACTTAGGGGGAAAAGGAAAGAGGAAAAGAGATATGGGTAGACATATGATTACTTGGAAACGAGTGATTAGTAATCATTTGAAAATGTTTATAAATTTTGGAGGAGTTAATCCAACACTGAAATTCATTCGGACGACCACAAATAAACTTGGAATTAAGGCGGTATTGTTAGGGGCAAAAAGGTAATTTTACCGTGGGGTCTGAGGTCGCGAGTTCGAATCCATCTCTCTACATTAAAAATGTAGGGGCAAGGTGGCCTAATATATTCCCTTCCCCAACACTCCCACTAGATGGGGATACGAACTATGTTGAATAAAGTAATACCTGCCTCGGACCCATCCTTAGCTGAAACTTCCTAATTTTTTTGTTCCTAAAACCTAAACATGTATAGGAGAGGAGACATCGCTCTCGTACAGCTAGCTCGCTCTTCTAGCTTGAGCTGAGACTTCCTAATGTTTTCAGGTTCATGGCGGTTCGAGCGGGATCGGGACATTTGCAATTCAGATGGCAAAACATCGAGGAGCAAAAGTATTCGCGACGGCAGGTCTTATAGCTCCATTTTGCTTTTCAGTAACCTTACTTGTCATCTCCATGTTTCTGAGTTGTTGGGTTTGTTCCGAACAGGTAACGAGGAAAAACTGGCTGTCTGTAAGGATCTCGGAGCAGAGGTCTGTATCAACTACAAGACCGAAGACTTTGTTGCAAGGGTGAAAGCAGAAACTGATGGAAAAGGTGTCTTTTTTTTTGCTTTTTCCGTTGATCCTTCCACATCTATGGAAGAAGAATGATCTATGTTCATGATCGGTCGTAACTGTGGAAATCTGAAACTGAATAGGAGTGGATGTAATTCTGGATTGCGTCGGGGCGCCGTACTTGCAGAGAAACCTCGACAGCTTGAACTTTGATGGGAGATTATGTATCATCGGTCTCATGGGCGGAGCTGTAGCCGAAATTAAACTCAGCAGTCTTCTTCCGAAGCGTCTCACTGTTTTAGGTAACAAGTGTTCTTCCATCTCTCGTCCAGTCTATTGAGAGGAAATGGCTTCTGGTAAAATCTGCTAAACAGCAACTATTAAGTGTTCCGATTTGGAATCTTCATCAGTTGCTTCCTGATAAGGGTGGGTGTGGGTCGGTATCCGAGTTTTTCGGGTGTACCTGAAGTCGGTCTTGCCCCATTGAGTTTTGCGGCCGAGCTATCCGTATTCTGCCTTGTGGGGATTGGGTACCCGACCTTTGGACACTTGCAGAGCGTGGCCAGGGCTCAGGTATCCGGCAGAGAGGTTGGAGCGGTGTGATGAGGCGAGGTCGCCGAGAAAGAAAAGAGGTGAGAGAAGATGAGATGAGGGGAGAATCAGGGAAGAGACCGAGGAGACGTGGAGAGAGACGTATCTCGTCGCTGCGCCTCTCCCCCTCTCCTCCGGCTCGGCCCTGCCCTCTATCTCCCCTCTCCCCCTCGACTCGGTTGTCCGTGGGTACGGGTAACCCGCCAACAGAACGATATTCGAACCCACAGCCTGACTTCTCACCGGCAAATGATCCGATCTTGCACTCGTCGAGGCTCAGGTTCCCGGGGCACCTGTGGGCTGGGGTCTCCTGGACCCGGGTACCCACATCCCTTCCCTTCTTCCCGAGTCACTCCAAGACCGCCGATCCGGCACTCTGAAACCTAAATGCACGATTTTGGATCAAATTTTACGGACCATACAGATCGTTATCGAGCGTGTTCTTGAAGCCCTAAAGTTTTCGGACATGTGAACTTCCCTGCAGGGGCTGCGTTGCGTCCGAGAAGCCGAGAGAACAAAGCGAGGGTCGTGGCAGAAGTGGAGAAGAACGTGTGGCCGGCGATCGAAGCGGGGAAGGTGAAGCCGATTATTCACGCGTCTTTCCCACTCTCAGAGGCAGCAGAAGCTCACAAGCTCATGGAAACCAGCAACCACATTGGCAAGATTCTGCTCTTGCCCTGATTCCGCAGCCATGAGAACTTATAACACATTATTTCTTCATGGTTGAAATCTCTCTCTTTCTTTCTTCTAAAATAAAAACATGGACTTGTGTTCTTACATTTTACATGGGATGTTGGTGTCAAATCAATAAAAAAAAGCTGAGTGTTGGGTCCAATCCAACGGTCAGGTTTGGATTCGAATTTCGTATTCCAACGTTACGGCATCTGCATAAATATATATATATATAGATAAAAACAATGCTAAACGACTGAAATATTGTGGTTGAAGTTTTGAGTTCGGGTATCCGAATTTAAGATATTTCTACAGAATTGTGATTCGGTTTCCAAAATGCTTGGATTTAGAATTTAATCTCTTTCTTTGGTTTGTGACCGACTAACCTGTAAAGTCGAAATCTTTGTCATATATATTTGGATATTTTTTTTATGTAAAGGATTTTTCAGAAGTATCCATCAAAATCAACAGCCAAAACTTCTTCTTCTACTTCCAGTTGATCCTCCATGATCGTTTGGTCATCTCCATCTTTGGATTCTTCAGTGGTATCGTTGTCATCCTCTTCGGCTGCATCTTCTCCGATCATATCGAAGTCTTCTTCTGAGAAAATGGCCTTTCTCTTCACTTCTCGCTCGTCTTCCAAGCTCACCAATGGTCCTGTCGTTGGATTCCGATCTTAAAAGACATCAACACTCTTATGTCCTAAGACCCATCAAAGATTCGTTGTCCCACCCATCGTTTCAAGTAAAAAAGAAAAAGTACCTATCTTCCTCTTTGCAGTAGCTGCTTCTTCTTGGGTTTGATGAAGGTAACGAATGCGTTCGTCGTCGACCTCCATGAGAAGACAACTTTTGAGTTCACCATACATAAACACAGAGACTATATCTTCGACCATGTTTGTTTGACTTTTTGAGGACGACGGCAAACATTTGTCTTGTCCTTAACCACTCGCATGACTTGTAACTTGTTCCTTGATGTTGATATTCACATTTGTTTATGGGTTAGACCTCACACAATATATATACATACATATATTTGGTTTTACCATATCCTCATTTTACATTCATATATATATATATATATATATATTTGTTCCTATATTTGCTCAAGTCAGCAACCGTGCCCTGAATTTATCACTGCTCGGTTTCCCAAACAAACCACGCCATGAATCTGCGTTGGCTTTCGACTAGGGATTAGGGATCTTTACTTCAAATTCAAAGTACAAATATAGAGAATCCATTTTTGGTTCTCAAAGCATTTGTGCTAAAAACTCCTCCGATTCGTTTTCTCCTAAAAAAAAAAGGACCAGAGAGAGACCTCAGAACTTGAAATCTTTCTTCTTCTTCCCTTCCTTCTCATGCATTTTTCGCTTCCTCTTCTTCTCGTTCTGCAGCATCCGACATTTACAAGAGACTCAAAATTTTGTTTCTCATGATTTCAAGAAGCATGAATGAAAATAGCACTCAAGGCAGGATGGATGATGATCATCATCATATATTATGTATGTATGTATGTTCATTACCTCGGCGACCATGTCACTGAAATCCTCCCGTTGAGTACGCAGTTTCTCCTCTTCCCTCGCCTCCTCATACCTTACAGAACATGTGGTGGGTGGGTTACAACATATTGTATAAACTGAAACCCTCGTATTCAGCCGAATTACAAAAGGACTCCTCCTCCACTTACTTGGTAGGTAAAACATTGTCCATGACTTCCAGCTCTTCTGGCTGTAAACTGACATCCACTCTGTCTGCCTTCTGACCTCTGAGCAAGTCAACCTGCTTGACAACACATCACCCGTTCTCACTGTATCAAACAACACCCCCCCAACAGAGCCAACCAATCTAGTTTGCCAATATCCTAACAATACATTATCCTAAAGCAACTGGCAAGAGTTTGGGTATATCACCGCATTTGCGAGAAATTCTCGTTTTCTCATCCAGTTTGTCACTAATATCAGTGCAAAGAACTCCTATATCAACAGCATCTACTCGTTCCATTTAAGACTATTACCATATAGAATTCAAACATAGGCTGCTTACCCTTTTGGCTCCCGTCTTGTCTTGAGTACCGGTGTTAATAACATATGTATGAGTTGTTCCAAGCAAAGTACCAGGAGCAATACTCTCTCCCTTTTCTTCAAGGACCTTCAGAATCAAAGGACAAAAAAAAAGTATTAAGAAACTAATAACAAAATTTTAGTTACTTGAAGTGAACAGCTAAATGAACACCACAATTCTCATCGTTAAGTTTCTCACTTGATATAAAGGCCTCTCAGGCTCCTTTCTCTGCTGTTTACGAAGTTCTATTGCATCGGGTGTCTCAATACCGGTAGGAGTGCTGAACAAAAGAATGCGAAACAATCAGCTTTGTCCTTCAATGTAGCAACAAAATACATATACACCTCACTGAAGGAAATATAAGACTAAAAATGATACCTTGACAGCGTATCCACAGACTGAATACCGTCCTCCAGTTCCTCTTCCTCCATCTCCTCTTCTTGTTCCTCCTCCTCCTCCTCCTCCTCTTCTTCTTCCTCTTCCTCCAAATCACCCCAGTGCTTGCTTTTATCAACTGGCTCCTCCTGAAGTCAGTGAGAAAAGGAGAATTCAATGTATAGCTCACAGTTTATGAATTTATTTTATCATCATATTTTGATGACCAAGAAAAGGTCCAGCAATACTGTTCCAGTATTTTACCACCACATCAGCTATTGATCTAGCTTAGAAAACGTACCTTCTGTATAAATTCTAAACTGTGGCATGTGGACACAAACCCTATTACCAAAGCTGAGGAGAATGTTCAAGAGTTACCTCGTAGTAAGGCTGTTCAGGCTGCTGGACACCAAAGACATCTCCATACAGTGGACGTCCATACTATTTACAGTACCAACAACATGAAAAAAAAAATAACTAACTCTGATAAACAATAGTAAATCAATAAATGGAATTACAATGCAAAAATACAGAATTAAAAGTCTTACTTCATCAACGGGAGGTTTTCCCCAACCCCCGGGATGATAACCAAAGCTAGCTCCAGGTGGAATAGGGGCATTTAGACCAGGAATTTTTAGATGTGGGTAAGAAGGTGGAGGACCGTATCTCTGTTAAAGAAGGATCAATGGACAGTTCCATTGCAATCAGAAACATGATGAAGAAAATTCTTGATAAAAACTCACCTGCATATTAATCAACCATGGCGGAGGAGCACCATCTGGCATACCAAGAGCTTCTTTTAGTTCACGCGACAAGGTTCCTGGTTTCATTTCCCTCAGTTTAACCTATTTTTCAAATAACTAATATTAGTTCAAATACCCTAAGTCATAAAACTTATTCAACAACTTAAAAATAAAAACGAACATGTTGTGAAGAATCGGAGAAACGAGTACCTCAAATTCTTTTCCTTCGAAATATAGATCACCAAGAGCTGTCAGCTTAGGCTTTGTCTGGTATTTGAAGAATGCATCATGAAGAACCTGGCCAGAGAAGGTACACCAACTGTGAAAGAAAGAAAAACAATAGACAATGCTGACCACATAAAAGCTCTAAACAAACAAACCTGATAGTCAATGTCCATCTTTCCCATTTTAGGCTGCATACGCTCCCGTTGCTTTTGCTTCAACTTCTTACCATCTTCTTTCTCAATGTAAGCCTACACAAGAAGCACAAAAAGGCTTGGATCAGGTTGTAGGAGTTTGGCAATTTATCCCTAGATCCTAGATAGACCAAAATAAATACCCCTGGCAAATTTTTTATTTGTTGAAACGCATAGAAAGTTCAAGTTTCCACGAACCGTACACCTTCAAATCCAAACAAACAGTTCAAGAAATAACATACTTGTCTAATTTTTTCGATCCCGGTTGCAGCAATAAAATCAGGAAGCTGGAATGGCTGCTTCTCTATGCCTCGTTTTCCCTGCAAAACAAAATACGCCGATGAGATGCAACTATAAAGAACAGAGCAAGCACTACAACAATTTAGACACAACGAAATGAGACTGAAACCTAAGAAAACGAATGCGTTTAAAAGGAAGACTGCTAGAAAGACATATATGGTAAATGAGCAGAAGTACTGATAAAGAATAAATCTCTAGCAGGGGAAGATCCTGCCTAATCAACTACACAGAAAACATGATTTCTGGCTCAGAATAGCATTGGATTACGCTCGACAACAGAAATATCAATTCAATTTACAAATATAAACATTTAATGAGTCCTGTCTGGAAACACCTACAAGTCCAGGCTCCATGGTTATCACAAACGTTCTCCTGCAAGAAGCACATATATAGGTATAAGGAAACTTAATTGACATGATGATCTCTATATCTCTTTATTAAATTCCCCTATGTGCCTGTGCCCCACACCCACGACCCACAGAGACACATTTGAAACAGAGGTAAAGTCTTGAAAGATCACAAACCTGCAGATATTTTCTCTTTTGGCACCAATGCCTTGGAACAGGTACTGTGTTCCGATAAGATTTCAAGTACACCAACAACTTTGGGTCTGCTGCAGTTGCATCCCAGACCTAGAAATGTTAAAATACAGAAGTTACTTAGAAGAATAGAATGCAGATGTAGACTAGGACACTAAGCAACTAGCCAAAATAGAACTACTTGAAAATATAAAAAAGGTCCGGTAAAGTCCACGGTAGCATTAGAAACGCACAAACATCCCATCAATTATAAGACACAGCTGAACAAAGATACTACAGGCTATCAATGTGGTTCATGCTACAAAATTCGAAACAGCAAATTGAGATGCTATACAGAGGTGACAAAACAAAGAAACCGAGCGTAAGATACCAGAGATATACTATGAGTGCAAAATTCAGAACAAGATAAACATCGGAAGAAGATGGAAAATACAGCCAAAGGGAAACATAAGACTAACGTTCAGACATCCCTTTTCAGTACTGCTGAACTTATAGGTCGTTATTGAACAGAGGAGCATAGAAATCCGATATGGTAAGGCCAATCTTTAGAAATACAACCATACCTCAACCACATCAGGCCTAGCGGAAACCTGCTTCAGCTCAGCAATCTTCATTCTCCGTTGGAGCTGAAAAAACAAAATTTCTCATCACTATAGTGACGGAGATATCCAACTAGAACACAGAAAATCAAAGAAGAACATAAGAAGGGAAATGACAATCAGCTACAACATAAACCTTTTTCTTCTTGTTAGAGAGACCTTTCTCTTTCAGCTGGTTGTCATTCTCTTCCTCCTCTGAATCAGAGTCTGCATTCTTTTTCGCATCCGCCTTTTCCTCAGACTCATCCTTCTTGTCCTCCTGCTCAAGCAAAGCAAGGAAATGTTGAGATTTAAGCTTGGCGAAACCTTCTCACTCGCACTTAACAGCCACAAGTCGCGTACCTCAGAAGCAACGGGTTCCCGAAAGTTGAACTTCTCAAAGATCTGCCTAAACTCTTCGTGGAAACCATCATCTAGTTCTGCCTGTTCCGGAACATACTCTATCACAACCTGCTCCGTAGCCTACGAATTCGATCGGGCAAATGAACAAATATTAACATATATCGATGATAAAACCTAAAACTACGTAGAGGTTCCACCGTACGGGGTACAGCCAAAACCCTAGAAATCCAAGCCCGCCAAAACAGATTGACGATGTACACAAACTCCACCTGCTGTTGCGGATCTGCGTTCTCCTTCGACTCAGTACCACCAAAAACGTCGCCTTCATCCGCATCAGACGGGGGTACTTTGTTGTTCTTTTTCTGCTTCCGCCGCCGACGACGCCGCTCACTCTCGCGAGCCTTCTTCGACGAAGCAGTACTGTTAGGGTTTGAGGAGATACCACCGTTGGGAGCTACGCCATTTTCGTGAGAGACGATGGTTTCGGCGGTCATGTTCGCAGAAGAGTCCCTCAGGCGAGAGTGATCAAATTCAGAAGGTACAAATAAGAGGAAAGATCCCGAAGGAAGAAGAGATATGAGAGAAGAGGGAAAATTGAGGCGACCCCTTATCTATACAGGATACCAAAACCACGCGCCAAAAGTTGGCGCGTGACCTCACGCTTCATTACTCGCCGGTCCGGCCGGCCGGTTCGGTTTACGGCTTTATTCTTTTATCGAACTGGTTTCGTTTCTTTTTTTTTTTTGGTAAAACTGGTTTCGTTTCTTGGGTGTTCGGTTCTCTGTTTGGCATACTTTAATGGCTCATGATCAGTTAGGCAATTTTGGTTATTAACCGAAGAATAAAACATAACGTAATCGAATCCCATTCCAATATAAAAACGGAACGATTATAATTTTTCTAAATTAAAATAATTAAATCTAAATTAAACCGAATCGAATAAAAAAATAACTCAAAAATCAGAAATTTCTTTAAAAAATTGAATTTTTATTATTAAAAACCGAATTCAAAATGAACCCAATCAAAATCGATATAAAAAACCGAATGGTTATAGTTTTTATATAATCAAAATATAATCGAACCGAACCTAAACCGAAAACCAAAATGGCCACCGTTGTGATCATATCTCATTGATGTGTCAATAACTATGGATGTTCAGTGCATGAAAGACAATTTCGCTCAAATCAAACATGAAAGAAGAGTATATAAGCATTCATTAGCTGAGTCTTCTTGTGCTGAGAATCCTCATGGTTTCTTCATCAGCATCAACTTTATCTTCTTCCATCTGCTTCAGTAGAGTATCTGTATTCTTTCCACCTTCTCTTACATCTGCCCTGATCAAAGCACTGTACATTTCTCTGTTCACGCCAATGGAAGTCTTGAGTGATTCAACAAAGCTTTCGACTTCTTTGAAGTTCCCTTCAACGCCAAGCCAACTCAAAACGCTCGTGACGAGCTTCGACCCGGGCCTCCATTTCCTGTTCTTTCCTTGGACACTGAGAGCAGATTTCATGCATCTGAAAGCTTTATCTAGCTCAACCTTCGCAGCATAATTATCAGCCAGAATGCCCCAAGAATCCGGTGTAGTAGCTTTGCCTTTCCCCGATAGATCCTCAAGAACTTCTTCCGCCTTATCGTTCAACCCTTTTGCAGCATACCCACGTATCAAAATTCTAGGGACACGAAAATCGTAGCAGTTTCCAGATGATTCCCACTCCTCGAGTACTTTCTCCGCTTCTTCCAGGCCGTCGAGCTTCACAAGCGACTGCAACATGACAATGTAGTCCTGGTTTATGTGTCTCTTACACGCTTCTTTTTCCAAATCCCATAACCTTAACACCTCAGTCTTCTCTCCTCGGCTTGCGTAGAGAGAGATGAGATGGTTGTAGCCAGTACCATCTTTGTTCTCCAGCCTCTCTTCCGACTTCTTCAGAAGTTCAGAAGCTCTGTCAGCATTACCAGCTTTGATGTAGAAATGGGCAGCTACAGCATAGGTGTTCCAATCCATGATAATACCGTGATGGTTCTCCATTTCTCGCAAAGTTCTCTCGATTCCTTCGAGATCAGACATAACACCATAGGCATTGATGCAGATTCTGAAGCTGTAATTATCTGGAGCCACATTGTCCAGCTTCATCTCATTTAGAACGGTAGGAACCTTGTCATGTTGGGAGGTTTTGGTGTAAAGGCACATGATGTTGTTGTAAGTAAGAGAAGACAGTGTGATGCCCATCTCCTTCATCCTCTGAAAATGGAACAGGGACTTGTCGATGTCCTGTTGCCTGACATAGCAGTTCAGAAGAGCTCCATACGTCTTCTCAGTCTTGTACTGTTCATTGAGACAGTTGAAATACTCTTCCGCAGTGACAAATCCATGAACTCTGCCGATGAGATCCAAATGCACCGCGTGCTCGGTCGGAGAGAAAACGCATACACCCGTATCGTTCATCCATTTCGAAACCTGAAACCCTTATACCAAAACCCAGATTGAGAAACTGCCTCGATTTTCTCGGCGACCGAACAGAAACCCGAGTCATAATCACCGAAACAAACATCAAAGGGGAGAAATAGGAGAAGGGCAAACCTGGAGAGCGTGGTTGAAGCGTTTGCGCCGACGAAGATCGTGAACTATACGAATAAGCTCAGCAACAGATACCTTCTTCCCGGATTGTACCCAGCTTTGAAGTTCCGGCAAGACGCTTGCTTTAGGGTTCCCAAAAAGACTGATTCTGGAGTATAGCGTCGTCTTCTTCACCCTGTTCGTATAGTAAAATCTGCTTATCACTGCTCTTTGCATCAGAATAGCCGACAACCTCCGAACTGTATTCATCGTCGCTGAAGCAGATGTGGAACACTGGCGAGAAAGATGATTGAATTGGCAGATCATATTGAATTAGATTCATAAAGAGATATTATTACTTTAGTTGCTGTGGTGTAGTGATTATCACGTTAGTCTTACACACTAAAGGTCCCCAGTTCGAATTATCCAGTTTTTCTGTAAAAGAAAACAGTCGAATTAGAGGGAAATTAAATAACCCGGGTCTCGTAACTCGTAAGAGGACCATTATAAAATCAAAGGAGATGGACGCGTTAAGACAAACTTGGATGAACATGAACGCACACTTAGATTCAAGATACATATGATCCAAGATTCCAGATCAGAGATTTAACAAACTTAGATACAAGAGGATAAAAACACAAACTTAGATTCAAGATACAGAGGGATCCAGATGAAAGGACCATAAGGAAAATTAAGAATAAACCACCAAGATTTAGAGTCTTAACTTAGGTTTAAAGGAAGAAATAAGCAAAATCAGAGCTTAGCAAAAAAAAAACGACAGTGCTTTTTCGAGTAGGAAAGCTTACAGGAGTGATCACAGTGCTGTATCGTGACCAGACAACTCCAGTGCATGCGACCGCTGTTACAAACAGAGGAGAAAAGAACTATTGAATCACTGAAGAGCGGCAATTCGATGGAAGTGATCAAGAAGAACAAAATCAAGAACAAGATAAGCATGCGTAAAACCCGAGCACGATTCATCGTTAATGGCGATCTATTGCAAAAACTGTGATCAATCTATGGAAACCTACTTTCATTGTTCCACGAAAAGTAATTGGAAACAACCCTATTTCAATGGCGAAAACAGAATGATTTATGTAATGGAGAATGCACAAACGTGTGCAGCTTCTGCAGAGAACATGAATCGAAATGATCTGAAATAAAAGAGATATCATCAAATCCGAATTTCAACATCCTCAATTCCTCGCCAAACGATAGATTCCCTTTACTTTCAGGGAAGGCCGGTTGTTTATCCATTATTAGATCATCAAAATTCCTGCATTCTCCTGGATCGTAGGAGTACTAACAGATACATGCTCGGATCCGAAAATTGTCCGGAGATGAGATGACACGGACGCGATACAACAAGGGTAATTTCAAAATCGATGGATGTAAAACAGCACGGATTAAGAATTCGGAGATTTCGATGGAAACAACCCAAACGGGAAATTGATGGAAAAAACGATCGAACGATAGAAAAGAAAAAAAAGAGGAAGAAGAGTTTGACTGACTGGTTTTGGGTCCGGCAGGGTGATTCCAAAGAGCTTGTAGCTTCGAAGCCGCCATGGATGATTTCCTTCGACCTCTCTCCGAATTGTCTCCCTTCTTTTCCATCCCCTCCACCTGCCTTATTAAAATCGCTGCTGCCCTAAAACGGCGTCGTTTTTGGGAAAACGTATTTTCAATATGAGAAAATCCTTGATGAATAATACAAATTATAATAGTAAATGAACGCTTGGTGTGACACACACAACGCACGACATAAGGCGTTACAATAAAATCATATGGTTATTTTACAATGGAATTATGAGAATATTTTTCTTCGGGTTTGCATCATCATTCATTAACGGCAAGGGGCCTCGCTTCAGATGAACAATCATGCCCGAAACATATATAATAAAAGGATCAGATTATATAAGAACAATCGATGCAAATTCAACGACCCAAATTAATATATATCTCATGTGATATATACATATATATATATATATTCAATGTGTATTCTCTCAAATCTCTTTAGCACTTTGAAATCGTGTTGATTTATGTATTGTTTATATGTACACTCTTAAAGGTAATATGGAGGAAATTCCGAACGATCGTTCTTACTTGAGTTTTCGAGAAATTTGATAGAGGCAAGTCCCTGCAGTGGCGAGGCTCACACCGAAGAGGTTCCAGTTCTTCTGCAAAACCAACAAGCCAATAGACTGCATTGAATCAAGACATAAACCCTCATTTGTCCCAAATCACAATCATTTGTATGTAGTTTATTTAAAACTTGGGGGAAAAATGAGAGAGGAAAAGAAACCCGAGTCATAATCACCGAAACCCTTATACCAAAAGGGGTTTTAACCCTAATAACCCACTTGGGTCGCAGCAATTTCAGGGTACACCACCCGAAAAAAAAAAAAAAATTGCGACCTTATTACGACTAATATATAACTAATATACAACTAAAATAAGAGTAGTTTATTAGTCGTAATAAGTTGTATATTGGTTATATATTAGTCGTAATAAGGTCGCAAATTTTTTTTTTTTTTTCGGTGGTGTACACTGAAATTGCTGCGACCCAAGTGGGTTATTTGAGTAATATTCCCATACCAAAACCCGAGTCATAATCACCGAAACCCAGATTGAGAAACTGCCTCGATTTTTTCGGCGGCCGAACAGAAACCCGAGTCATAATCACCGAAACAAACATCAAAGGGGAGAAATAGGAGAAGGACAAACCTAGAGAGCGTGGTTGAAGCGTTTGCGCCGACGAAGATCGTGAACTATACGAATAAGCCCAGCAACAGATACCTTCTTCCCGGATTGTACCCAGCTTTGAAGTTCCGGCAAGACGCTTGCTTTAGGGTTCCCTAACAGACTGATTCTGGAGTATAGCGTTGTCTTCTTCGCCCTGTTCGTATAGTAAAATCTGCTTATCACTGCTCTTTGCATCAGAATAGTCGACAACCTCGGAACTGTATTTATCGCCGAAGCAGATTGGCAAAGTATTGGAGATTAGCTTTAAATATAACGAGTTGCTGTGGTGTAGTGGTTATCACGTTAGTCTTACACACTAAAGGTCCCCAGTTCGATCCTGGGCAGCAACATTTCTGAAACTTTTAGTAATATGTTTTTGACAAAGGTTTTTTTTTGGTGGCTCTTTCTCAAAGTTCTCTCCTTTGAGTTTGAAGCTGAAACCCTAGTTCCTCCATCTCTGCAGCTCATGTGGTTCTCTGTCTGCATCAGACACAACAATGGACCCAATCATGGGTTGCGTCTCCGAGGAACAACCTTGCTTTCTCGCCGCTTTGGATCTTCACACAACATGGGCAGATTCGGTCTTTACAAGAGGATCTCCCCTCTCGGTGATCCCAAATTCTCCATCGTCCCCGTTCTCGACGAATGGGTGAGGGAGGGCAACTCCGTGAACAAGCAACAGCTTCGGCAGTTGATCAAGGAGCTTACCAAGTACAGCCGCTTCGGTCATGCCCTCGAGGTTCATCTCCTCTTCCATGTCTCTGTTGTTTTGTTTGCTTGTTAATGTCTTCTGTAGTCTCATGGTCTGTGATCCTTCGTGTTCTGTGACAGAAATGTGATGGGTCTGAACCTTAGCTTCTGAGATTTAAAAAAAAACAATGACGAAACTGTGAACTCCGGTTGCTTGCTGGATTGGAGGCCTTTTTCCCGCTGAAATTTCTGTGGTATCATAAGATAAACTGGAAATTCTCCATACAAGCAATGTTTTGTCGCATGTAAGTTCAGTGCATTCGAGTTTTGCTTTTGCCTGCAAAGCATAGTGTCCCTAATACTGGAATTGTTAGGGCTTATTCATAGTTACTGCTCTGGTTCGGCCGTGAGCGATTTCTTCCTCGGATTTTTGAGGCATTCGATATAGCGTAGCATTCATGTAGCAAGTTCTTGGCACAAAGTTTCTTGATTTGGATACACGGATTCGAGAGCTTAGGAAATGAAAGAAGCAATTCCGTTGTTCATGCTAGAGGCTTGAGAAGTTTCTTTTTTGCCATTCCTTATGTTTTAAGTCTTGCTTCAATACCCTTCTTGTATTGTAGTGATCTGAAACTTGATGTTGTTTGCCCGTGTAGCTCGTCGCCCGTTATCTGATTTTGCGTTATTGAAGTGAAATCTTTTAGGTATCTCAGTGGATGTCTGATAAGTTGTTATATGCTCCTTCCCCAACCGATTTGGGTTCACGGGTTTGCTTGATATCGAGGGTCCACGGCCTTCAAAAGGTAGAGGAATATTTCAATAACGTCCCCGAGAGCATGAAAACCGGTGTGGTATTCAGCAGTCTCCTCAACTGTTACGCTCGTGAAAAGTCTGCAGAGAAAGCAGAGAAGCTCATGCAGACGATGAAGGATACGGGAATTTCCGTGAGCACGATTTGTTACAACGTGATGATGAATATGTACTATCAGATGAATGCCCACGAAAGATTAGATTCTCTGATGCTTGAAATGGAGCAAACCCGAATTCCTTACGACCAGTTTACTCTCAGCATCCGCCTTAGTGCTTATGCGTCAGTTTCCGATACCGAAGGAATAGAGAAAACTGTGGAGAGTATAGCCTCCATCTCGCAAACCGCCGTCGACTGGAGCATTTACACCATTGCAGCTGACGCTTATCTTAAAGTTAACCTCGTCGATAAGGCAGTAACGATGCTGAAGAAGTGCGAGGAGCTCGTGAACGGAAAAACCGGGAATGAAGCATTTCATATGCTCATCAAACTGTATGCGAAAACCGGTAGAAAAGAGGACCTTTGCCGGATCTGGTTCCATTTCAAGGCAGAGAGAAAAGTGTATAACAGAGGCTACATTACAATGATAGATTCAGCTCTGAAACTTGACGATGTTGAACTGGCCGAGAGAGTCTTAGACCAGTGGGAATCCGGGAAATTGTCATACGATTTCCGGATCCCCGATCTGTTGATTCGAGCCTACTGCAAAAAGGGTCTCGTCGAGAAGGCTGGAGGGCTCATGCGAAAGGCGGAAGCAAATGGAGTCGATCCACCGATGGATGCATATTCATGCTTGGCAAGCAAGTACCTCGAGGATAACGAGATTTCCAAGGCGACGGAAGCGATTGAACGTGCGATTTCGTCACGGGCCGATGCCGAACAGAGGCATCCGAAGAGAGAATTGATGAGTCTGTGCATGAAACATATACAGGGAAGAGGTGACAGAGACAGGTTGGGTGTGTTCATGGAGTGTTTAAGAAGTGAGAATGTCTTCTCCGCAGCTGCAGTTGAAAGACTCCATCTTCATCTGTCAAATGGTCCAAAAATAAAATGCTAATAACTTTTTTTTTGGTGAATATATATATATATATATATATATATAAGCTCAATATCTATCTTGATTAACTATCTTTATCATATTAATCTTCGTTAAGATAATCTGCAATGAAATATGTTCCTCTATAGATTAGTAATTATGAACTGTCTTTACGTACATAAACATTCAAACCTGCACGCATGAGGATTCGCTCTTATACCTTAATTTCCTTCTATTATAATTTTATTTACAATGAATTAAACATGCTATGTTGGGTTTTAGATAATCGATCTGCCTTTCCACGAGAATCCAATAAGCGAAAGACAGGGTTCGGTTCGGTAATGATAGTTTCGGTTCTGTAAAAATTATACCAAACTAAAACCAAATATTAAATAGTTCGGTTCAGTCCGAAATGGTATCGTTTTATGAATACCAAATAAGTATAAACTATAATATATATATATCGGATCGGTATTTATTCAGTTTTGTATTTTTATGGTTCAGTTCGAGGATGATTTATTCGATTCTATAAAAAAAATATACTAAACTAAAACCGAACATTATTCGATTCGGATCAGTCCGGTTTTGATATGGATCAGGTCGGAACTAAATTCCGGAGCGGAAGTACCCACTCCTCATCAAACATTTTACTAGGGATGTCAATTAAACCCGGAGCCTGAAACCCGGCCCGAATCCGCCCGAGAATAATAAGGACATGGGCCTAAAAAGTATAGGCTCATTAAATTTCGGGCTTTCGGGCCTCGGACCACTAAATGGGTTGCGGGTCAGTCGGGCCGAACCGGTCGGGTCTCAGGCCGGGCTTAAGGCCCATTAATTTTTTTTCTAACCCTTTTTTCTAAACCAAAGTTTTAACTCTCTATAATTATCTTAACTTCTTTTTAACCATATTACATCATATATTGGATAATCTTCTTTTGTATTATTTTTTTACCAAATCAATTACCTAATACTTCTATTTGATTATATTTTTTTTGTTTTATATTTTTTTTCTCACTTTTTTGTTTCGTACTAGTGGGTTGGATTTTGTTCTTCGATGCGCATAAACAAACACATGTGTTATATTTATATATATGTATCTTTTAATCAAATGACAAAACTTTATCTTGATTCCAATTAACACTTTTTAAAGTGACGAAAACTTTTATTTTTAAAACCATATTACATCATATATATATATATATATATATCAATTTATGTTTTTGAAAGCGTAAAAACTTTCAAACATATATATTTTTAAACTTTTGTTTGCATATGAATATATTGATTTTTTTTCTATGTGTTTCAAATTAATTACATCATATAATATATTTTTTATACTATGTCTGCTTTTTTTTATAAATATTTTACATTATTATTATTATTATTATTATTATTATTATTATTATTATTATTATTATTATTATTATTATTATTATTATTATTATTATTATCGCAAGAAAAAAAATATTTTTATTTGATAAAAAAAACCTGAAACCCCAACCGTGCGAAGCTCTATAAAGTCAGGTTCCGTGCCATCGATCCTAGGCTCGAAAAATAAATGGGTGGGGCGACTCGATCCGAAAAATTCCAGGCCCGAATTTAACCTTGCCCGAACCTCGCCCGATCCACCCATTTTACACCCCTACATTTCACTACACTCAAAAACTTCAAACACATTTAGATGAACTTAACCCCTCTCTCTCTCTATTATATTTTTTTTTGTTTAACTCTCTCTCTCTCTATATATATATACATATGTATATGAGAATTGATGGAGGTTTCCAAAACCATAAATGCAATTGCACCCTCTCTACACGCTCCTTTTACTGCCACATCCTCAACACATGTTCCCTTCTTCTTCATTCTTCTTCTTCTTTCCATTTCTCCACTCTCATACTTTCTCTCTCCGGCGTACGGATACCAGAAAACCGGTTTTCTTGGTTTCCGGCCGGTGAACCGGGAACTCTGTCGACCGTTCCGTTTCCCGGTTCTCTTGTTCGTAGCAAAACCGCAGAAGTTTAACCAAACAGGAAAGAAAACCAGAGAGAAAGACTGAAACTAGGGTTTTTCGTGTTCGTCGTTTTCAGTTCAACCCTAATTTTCTTTTGCCCGATAAGTAAGATCTCTCTCCCTCTCCATATATATGTATACATACTTATATATATACGCGTATTTCTAGGTTTTTTCTCTTGGGTAATTCCCAATAAATTCAAGCACATGATAGTTCCAGGTTTTTACAGATCCAATTGGATCTTATATTGCATGTTATGAATCTATTTTTTTCCCTTGGTTTCTCAAGTGTTCCATTTCTCTCTATATATATATATCCTTTTTTTTCGTATATTTCTATTTATGCGAGGAATATAATGCGTTACGAAGCTCTATGTATGGAGCCGGAATTTGAAGGGGCTTGACGAAATCTTCCTTGGTGTAATGTGTCAAAAAGAGTCATTGACTCATCGTCGGCACTTTAATCAAAGCCAATATTTTCTGCACATTGTATTATTTATAAAATTTGCAACCTAATTTTATAGATTTTACTAGAAAACGGTCCTTTGTGGGCACAGAGACCAAAGTCAATTTAATTCTTCAAATTTTAAAGACATGACTTTTCCAATTTTTTTTAAAAATCATCCTTTTGCTTATCTTTATTTTTTTCTTTTAGATAGAGAAAAGTTCATTAAAATCAAACCCAAAATTTATAAACCAAGCAAATTAACCCGAACTTGAAAAAAAAAAAACCACAAAACGGATCTGTCTTTAGGGTTTCGAAGTTTTATTACACATCTCCAGTTCGGAATCTGATACAGTATAGTAGCGGATACAAAAGTATATACAGATATATATATATATAAATATATACAGCTTGTTTCTTTTGCTAGCTTAGCTAGCTAGGGTTTCTTAGCTACATATATATATCTATACATATATACTATCGATCTTCTCCGTCTCCACCGTTTTCGACGATAGATCCGATGCTGCTGACTCAACATTGACTTGATCCTGTATGTGTATATGTATATATATACGCACATACCTATATATATATCATCGTGTGTGTATCTTCAAATGGACAGGTGAGAGAGAATTTTCTAGGGAGAGAAATGTTTTATTTGCGATCTTTTCTCTTCCTCTTTCTTCATGATCAATTTGGTTCTACACAAAGTTTTGATTGTTATACATGATCGATTCATGATTCATTCTTTTCCTCGCAATTTTCGAGTTTTCATATAGTATCCTCATCTTCATTTTTTTGTTTTTTTTTTCTACATTGATTCATGTTTCGTGTATATCTCACGATTTTTTGGTGCTTCGTTTGCTTTTGGGATGATTTTCACAAGATCATATGGTTATACATGTTGAACTATGTAAGAATATAGTCATTCCCCTTAATTTTTGATAAAGATGATTACGTGTGTGTATGTGTATGTGTATGTGTATGTGTGTATCTATATATACGTACACAAGTGTACAAGAAGAGCAAAAGAGCCATTATATTCCTGTTTGATTACTTGTGAAAGAGAGAAATCATACATTATATGCGGTAGCATAAGATTCAGAGATTGCTTTCCTTATTACAAAGATTTTATTCTCCTTCTGATTGATCCTCATGGTCTTATTCTCCATATACACACACACAAATATATACAAGTTACCAAAATATATATATATATACACAAGCATATTTTGATATATATATATATATATAATCTTTTGACTAGTTTGATTCTTCTGGGCATGTGGAAGATTTGGATATGAAAATCAAGACAGATCAACACATTTTCACTTACTTGGAGATTTGAAGAGACTGATCAACCCCCAAGCTCCTCGTGGGAGATATCGATCATCATCATCATCATCATCATGTATCATCCAAACATGTTTGGGAGTAATCATATGTTCGACATCACCCCGAAGAGCCCAGATAACGACTTGGGGATATCTCCGGGCAGAGAAGACGATCTCGAGACGAAATCCAGCACGGAAATCACAACGGAGAATCCCTCGGGTGAAGAGCTTCAAGACCCCAACCAACGTCCAGCCAAGAAGAAGCGTTACCACCGCCACACTCAACGCCAGATTCAAGAACTCGAGGCGTAATTAACACTTTTGTGCTTGCTTGATGATTCATTTTCTTTTTGTGTTTTGAGAATTTGGGGTCTAATTAATTAGGGTTTTATGTTTTGTCATGCGTTGTTGTGTATTTCAGGTTCTTTAAGGAATGCCCCCATCCAGACGATAAGCAGAGGAAAGAGTTGAGCCGAGAGCTCGGGTTAGCGCCTCTCCAGATCAAGTTTTGGTTCCAAAACAAACGCACCCAGATTAAGGTATGTCTTAAGCAATTGTATGCTAATTAAATCAAGGCGATTTCCCACCAAAATAGCTATATGTATGTTGATGAATGTGCTAATTTCATAGTTATTGTCGTTTATATTGCTCATCTTATCATCAGTTTAACGTACCTTTTTGTATGATGGGTTATGCACACGCACGTATATATAGGCACAGCATGAGCGGAGTGAGAACCAAATACTAAAGTCAGAGAACGACAAGCTCCGAGCGGAGAACAACAGGTTCAAAAAAGCTGTAACCAATGCAACATGCCCGACCTGCGGCGGTCCAGCCGCTCTTGGGGAGATTTCCTTTGACGAACAGCATCTCCGGATCGAAAACGCTCGTCTCCATGAAGAGGTAATAACTATACACAAACATACAGACAGACACCACGTGCTTAATTTTCTCCAACTACTGCTTGGTCTGATCCCCAAATCTTTACCTTAAGAGCAATCCAGTCATTTGTTGATGTTGTTGTTGTTGTGGTTACAGATTGATAGGATTTCTGCAATTGCTGCTAAGCATGTGGGAAAGCCATTACTGGCTTCGTCTTATCCTCCTCGATCATCCAATGCCCCTTCACGTTCTCTTAATCTCGAGGCCGGGACCTTCGGGAATCAATCCGGGTTAATGTATGGAACCGGAGACATTTTCAGGTTGGTTTCCGTCCCTTCTGAAGCAGATAAACCTATGATCGTCGAGCTTGCGGTTGCTGCCATGGAGGAACTTGTCAGAATGGCTCAAGCCGGTGAGCCCCTGTGGGTTCCAAGCGAAAACTCGGCCAGGATTCTCAACGAAGAAGAATACTTCAGAACTTTCCCAAGAGGAATCGGACCAAACCCTCTAGGCATGAGATCAGAAGCGTCAAGAGAGTCAGCTGTGGTTATAATGAATCACATCAATCTAGTAGAGATTCTCATGGATGTGGTACTCGATATTTTCATTCATTTGATCATCGCCTCCAATTTCAAAACGGGTAATTTTTCCGGATAGAATATTGAAGCTGAAGCTTTTGTACTGTTTTGATGCCAGAATCAATGGTCATGTGTCTTCAGTGGGATTGTTTCAAGAGCGTCGACACTTGAAGTTCTTTCCACCGGAGTTGCGGGGAACTACAACGGCGCCCTGCTAGTGGTAACGATCGACAATCGGGTTACTTGCATAACAAGTTATTACATCAAATGCTGTAACAATAGATTCTACACAAGTTTAAATCTTTTCTGATTCTGCAGATGACAGCCGAGTTCCAAGTCCTGTCCCCGCTCGTGCCAACGCGTGAGAACTACTTTCTAAGATACTGCAAACAGCATGGTGACGGTACATGGGCAGTTGTAGATGTCTCTCTGGACAGTCTACGACCAAGTCCGGTCTCTAGAAGCAGAAGAAGGCCCTCTGGTTGTCTGATTCAAGAATTGCCAAACGGTTACTCAAAGGTAAAAAAACAGGGGGCAGACTGACGTTTGGAAAAATATTGGGTATAAATTTTAAATCTAAGGAAGTAACGGGGCGAATAAAGATTTTGCGTAATTTTGATTTGTGGTTTATGGCATTGCTGCCGAAAGGTGACATGGGTTGAGCATGTGGAAGTGGATGATAGATCGGTTCAGAACGTGTACAAACCATTGGTTTGTTCCGGTTTAGCTTTCGGGGCGAGACGTTGGGTCGCCATGCTTGACCGCCAGTGCGAGCGTCTTGCCAGTTCCATGGCCAGTAACATTCCGACCGGAGAACTTTCTGGTACTGATAAATTTCGTCGGAATTGGTAGAGATTAATGGGCTATTATGAACGATTTCAAATAGACGGGGCTGATTGAAGTAATTGATTGATTGAAGTGATAACGAGCCCTGAAGGGAGGAAGAGCATGCTAAAGCTGGCGGAGAGGATGGCGATGAGCTTCCTGCACACGCCTGGACAACATTGTCGGCGACAGGACCCGACGATGTCCGAGTCATGACCCGGAAGAGTACGGATGACCCGGGAAGGCCTCCGGGCATCGTTCTCAGCGCCGCGACTTCGTTCTGGATCCCTGTCCCTCCGAAACGGATCTTTGACTTCCTCCGCGATGAAAATTCCAGAAGCGAGGTAACCGAAATCGATTTCGACCCGTTTTCTTTCTCTCGGGTTTATGATCAAAATTGCGTATGGTGAAGTGATTGTCTTGGGGATTTGTGGTATGAATTTCGCAGTGGGATATACTTTCGAATGGAGGGCTTGTCGAAGAGATGGCTCATATTGCCAATGGTCGCGATCCCGGAAACTGTGTCTCCTTGCTCCGTGTCAATGTAAGAAAACCGGAGTGAAAACCGAGAGTTCTGCTTCGTTTATGAACGATCTCTGGTTTTTGCGTGGAATTCGATAGGACTCGAGATCTCTTCCTCGTGTTCTGCGCTTAAAAATTCGGACTTTGTCTTGGTTTTCCGGTGACGGAACAGATCGGGAACTCTAGTCAGAGCAACATGTCGATCCTACAGGAGAGCTGTACGGACGCGACAGGATCGTACGTGATTTACGCGCCGGTGGACATTGTGGCCATGAACGTCGTGCTTAGCGGCGGAGACCCTGATTACGTGGCGTTACTGCCGTCGGGGTTTGCTATTCTTCCGGACGGTTCAGGCGGAGGAGGAGGAGTTTCTCCCGGCGTTTGGGGTTCGCTCCTCACGGTAGCGTTTCAGATACTGGTCGATTCTGTTCCCACGGCTAAGCTCTCTCTTGGGTCAGTGGCTACGGTCAACAGCCTGATCAAATGCACAGTCGAACGGATCAAAGCCGCTATCTCCTGACTACGAAGTTTCAGTTTTTTCAGGTACGTTTCAGATTCAGTTTCTGCAAGGGTCCCTATATATACATATACATATATATATGATCTTGAATGCAAAGATCAAAGCGAGAGAAGGATATATGGAAGAACCCTTCAATGGTGGTGTGGCGTATTTGTTGCAGAGAATAAGAGGAGGATCGTCAAGCTTTTTTCAAAGGAAGACAAGGACGCACCTTTTTGCGTTTGATCTTGCTCGCAAGCGTGAGAGAGAGGGAGAATGGGTAAAGAGGTTCGGGTATTGACTTTGAGACATCTTCCTGGCTTTTGGTCTTTTTTTAGGGTTTCAACTCACGTTGTTCCTTTGCAAAGCGTCTTTGTAAGTGATCATCCAAAAAAAAAAAAAAAAAAGCGGAAGTGAATATGAAGCTGTTGTCGTTATATATTTATATATATATATATATATATATATATATATTGTATGAATTCTTTGTTTTTTTAATTTGGTAATCAATAATTTTTTTTCACAATAACTTATCCAAAAGAATCTTATCTTGATCATATATTATCTAAAATAATTTTTTGTATGGATTATATGATATATACATTTTAAAAGATTATGCTATGGTTTACTGACTAGTTGATTGACAAATTATTTGATGCAGTCATGCGCACCTATATTACAGCCAAATTCAGATTTAAGTTGTCTATACGGATGTTTTATTTTATTTACTAAATTGAATTCTAAGTGGGTTCGGTTTCGTTGTGATCCTCGGTTGAATCAATCCGGTTTAGAAAGAGCCATTCATTGCCACGTGTACATTAAAGCTCAACATGTAGTTAGTGTGACACGTGCCACCAGTCGGTCCCACACAAAACCACCCTGTAAAAAAACCTAATCGACGCCCATTCGTCCGTCTCCTGTCCGGCGTGAAGACAGATTCCGATCGGTGGAACAAGAAAGAAAACAATTTGCAGGAGAACGAGGAAGACGATGCTATGTTAATGGCGATCCAAAGATCTCTGAGAAAGCTAGTTTTTGGGAACTCCGGGAAGGTCAGGCCGTTCTTCACCGCCGCTGCCGTCTCCGGCGGAACCGCTTCTCTCATCCCACCGACGGCGCCGCCGTTCTCTCCGTTCTTCTCACATTTCTCGCATCGATGGTCACCGCTTTCAAAATGGTTCGTCCCTCTCCAGGGCCCTCTCTTCCTCAAGTTTCCTCCATGGAAGCTGCTCCAGTCGGCGACACCGCTGTATTTGCATGGAAACGGTGTCGTCTTGAGGAAAGTCGAGGCCTTGAACCTGAAATTGGATCGAATTAGGAGCAGAACGAAGTTCCCGAGTCAGCTAGGGCTTGGGTCGGGGTCGGTGGTGAAGCCGGACTTGGCGAAGTTGGGTCGTGTGGATTTAAAGGAGGAAGATGGAGGTGGAGGAAATGGTGGGCTTGTGGAAAGTTTTGTAAATGTGCCGAATTTGATATCAATGGGACGATTAGCTTCAGGTCCCCTGCTTTGGTGGTAAGTGCCAATATGCTTGTCTTTGTGAGCTGTGATTAGTTTCTTGTTTGTTTCTGGGGAAAAGGGTGGAAAGAATGAAGGATATGGGTGTGGCCTTACAATTCCCTCTACTGGTAGTGATGATTTGTTTGTTCTTTGCTTGAAGAAGTCAAAATCCAACATTTCAATTGCAGGATGATTTCAAATGACATGTATTCTTCTGCTTTCGTCGGGTTGGGAATCTCTGGAACAACTGACTGGGTATTCATGCTTTTGCATTTTCCTTGTCCAGGACGAAGTCCGTGTAAAAAAACCCCTACTTTGTTCATTTTCCTTATGGTGACCTTTGATCTTGTAGTTAGATGGGTACATGGCTAGGAAGATGAAGATCAATTCAGTGGTTGGTTCATACCTTGATCCTTTAGCAGACAAGGTATTTTTTTTTTAAATCTCTTTATGTTTTGGTGTTTAGTATATTATAAGTTTCAACCCTCAATGATGCGTCTTGTGTAGCGTTTTCTTAACGACTTATCCTCAATGCAGGTTCTCATCGGTTGTGTTGCTTTGGCAATGGTGCAGAAGGATCTTTTACATCGTGGGTACTCTTCTGAAGTTCTGATGAATGATGAAATTTCATTTGCAACCATAATTTGAGCTTGCTAGACTCAAATCTTGCCCCTGCTTGTGGGGTTTAGCATTTAGGGAATTCCTCGTCTCTTGTACTTTCTTTGATGCCGAAATCCCGTTTGATTTAATTTCCTTTTATATTCCCAATCTGAAGCTGGCCTCGTTGGAGTTGTGGTATTGCGAGATTTTGCACTCATTGGTGGTGCATTTTACTTGAGAGCCGTAAGCTTGGATTGGAAGGTGAACCTATAGAACCATTTCTTTTGATTCTGTCCCTTTTTTTGTTGTGTGAGTAGTATGATTCTTTTGGTGGCCGGAAGTGTTAATTGCAATCATGTTGACATCGTTTCTTCCAGTGGAAAAGCTGGACTGATTTCTTCAACATCGATGGTACACGCCCTCAGAAGGTGGAGCCATTATATATAAGCAAGGTATGTGACCTCTTTGAAATGCGTATATATGTAACCTCCTCTACAATATCACTCATATATCTCAACTCCCATAGGACAGATCATAAACCATTATTGGCATTAGGGGAGGTAGTAACATATGTTTACTGGACAGGTGAATACAGTTCTCCAGCTGGTTTTAGTAGCCGGTGCTCTCCTTCAACCCGAGTTTGGGAACTCAGAAACCGAAACATGGATCACTTACTTGAGGTAAAGAGATTTATACTACTACATAATCCGAATAAACCCTCTGAAGGGTGTGGCTGTTTGGAAGATATCTCGTGATCGGTATCAAGAGTATGGTTGTGATTTGCCGTTGCCACGAGAGGCTATTAGAAGCTGCTGGATTTCTGAAAACCGATTTTCGGGTTCATGTTATGTTCTTGCAGCTGGTTAGTGGGTTCAACTACAATGGCTTCGACCGCAGCTTACGGTTCGCAATACATGAAGAGAGGATCGGTGACGATGCTCAAGAGATCTTAGCTGAGACTTTTGTTTTCAACGGTCAGAGACAGAGGGTATCTACATATTTTGAAGAAGAGTGAAGATTCGGAGATTTGGTGAAGTTTAATTGGTTCTTCTCAGGCGATATGAGTTGTGGAATCACTCAACAGTTAACTGATGTAGAAGTGGCAGATCGTGTCGGAGATTTAGGCATGGAATGGGTAACACACACAGTTTGTGTTGTGTCCGGTCACGTGTTTTGAGGTTAACTCACGTGCGCTTCCTCTCCTTTACATTAACTTTGGAATCAAAATTAAAACATAAAATCATATATGTTCGAATAAAAAGTTTAAGTAAATTGATTTCTTTTTGGATTTTGTTTTTATACTGGAATTTAGAACCTAATTTAAAGTCATAATTGACTTAATATGGAGTATTAGTACTGTGTAAAAACTTAATTTTATTAAACTACAATTTTCCTTTTGGGAAAAACAAATAAAGTTTCCAATTATTTTAATGAGAGACGAGCGATACGAGTCGCGGCAGAGTGGGAAAGATCGCAACGACCACAACCGTTGATCTTCGTTTCTCTCTTCTCTCTCCCCCTCTCTCTCTCTCTCTCTCGTCGCCATCATCAGGCCTTGGTTCCAGAGATTCAAACACCGGTTTCTGGATTGAGCAGTTCCTCTTGAGCTCGGTCGATTTTGGATTTTTCTTCTGGCTCTGTTAATTTCCCGAGAAAGTCTATTCGGCGGGCATAGACATTGTATCAGATAATGGGGAGAGTGGCGGCGGAAGGTTTGGAGATTTCGAGGGAGATGGCGACGGCGAGTTGGTGGGAAGAGATTAATGAGTCAACTACATGGCAGGACGGGATCTTCTTCACCCTCTGCGGTGCTTATGCTCTAGTTTCCGCCGTTGCTCTAGTATGAGTCTCCTCCTCCTCCTCCTCCTCCTCCTCCTTGAATGTGTATTCATGTACGAAGGGTATAGAAGTTACAGATCTTTCTTCAGAAATTTCTAGGTTTTTTGGGTGTCGGAGATGATTTTTCGGGTGCTTGCTTTTGGCGTGTAGGTCAAATTGATGCTCTTTTGGTTGGGTTTTCGTCTTGCGTTGATTCTTTCATGGAATCGAAATCTCTTTTTTACCATTTTTTTTGTCAAGTCTCGTTTTTTTTTTTGGTCATTGCTTGCTCTGCTAATTCAATGCTTTGACATCAATTTGTGTTTTACCAAACAGTCAATGCGGTGGAATTATTGGATTTGGGTAGACAAAGTAGATTGGCTGTTTCCAAAGTTAGAGACTTTTTATGGATCCATTGCTTGTCTGTCTGGAATTGGCTCTGTAACTGTTTGTGTTACTGTTTCAATGGATTGGAATTTCCTTAACGCTGGATTGTAATTGGCAGATCCAATGGGTTAGGATTCAGATGAGAGTGCCTGAATATGGCTGGACCACTCAGAAGGTCTTTCACCTTATGAACTTTGTCGTCAATGGAGGTGATCATCAGTGTTTTCACTGGAGATGATAGGTTTTTCGTGTTGTTTCAATCGTATCTCTGGATCATGTTTTGGCCTTTCTTTTGCGGACAATTGTGTTGCAGTTCGCGCAGTTCTGTTCGGACTTCACAAACAAGTATTTCTTTTGCATCCCAAGGTGAGTTTGCTTCACATTCATGCTGGTGCCCACCATTAAATAATGCCCTCTGTTCCATATTTTTCACATTTTTTACCTTGTAATTTGATTCTGGGCAAACAGATTTGTTTCCTTTCTTCAAAAGATGTTTTTTTTTTCCTTCGAATCATCAGCTACCCCGATATAAAGGTACTAGTTGTTGAATTCTACATCTTATAACCATCCAAAGTTGTTGTGAGATTGTTCAGGCACTTAGCTTGGTACTGTTGGATCTTCCCGGCCTCCTGTTTTTCTCGGCTTACACACTGCTTGTGCTGTTCTGGGCCGAGATATATCACCAGGCACGTAAATACTTCATATTTGAAACTGACATACATGCTGGACTCTTC